TAAGTGTAATCAGAAAGAATTCAGAGATTTGCTGATTGCTTCCTCCACTGTAGCTGTTTGCTTTAGCACAAACATCCGCTGTGTGTACAAGATGGTGCACACACGTAGCGGTGGATGGCTCAGAGGCTCTTTTGCTCTAATAGCAATGTGGACAGTAGACCCTTGTATCTTTGAAATTAGCACATAAAATAAATGGGAAAAAATGAAGACCATAAAGATAAAAGTGTCAGATTCATCCTGAGTCTGGTTTGATTACTGTGGATGCTGGCTAATGTTGAGCAAGTCACATTGTCCTCTTCAGGTTACAAGATGGCAAATGTCTCTTGAAGCTCTAATTTTCCATGAGTCTCACTTCTGTGGTCCCTGATAACCTTCCAAGATGCCATGAGAGGTGGGAACTATGAGGAAGAGCAATAGCTTCCATCAATAGAAGGGCAAATGCCTGGTCACAGTTAAGATATGAAGACTGCCCACTGGTCTTGCAGACCACAGATCTCCTGACGAAGGTAGGTCTTTGGCCACCTCTTGACACCATTCCACTCCATCTTTGGCAATATCTCCCTCATTTTGGTGGCCTTTCTTGACTTATCTGATGCAAACCAAGTGCCGGTCTTGCTCCCTGGTCACCTGAGCTGGTCCTCTGCTGGGTGTTGCTCTCTCCCCGTCTACGGAAGAGGGCCTCCTGATGTTCCCCATTCCTGCCTCATCTTGCTTCTCCTCTGATTGCAAAGAAGCTCGCAACACTAGTCCACCTACCACTACTGTTGATTAGCATTGGTAATTATAAAGAGCAGTCTTGGCATCTTGACTTGGGCTGACTGCTGCAATCCTCATTATTATATAATAACTTACCAGTCAGAACTTGCTCATCATGTCTTCCTCCATCTACATAATCTTTTTCCCTTTATAAAAATAAGACAGGTTATTATCCACCCCAATCCCCTTTCCACAAGAACACAAGCTGTTGTCTGTTGTATAAAGATGGTGTCACTGATAGAGGCATTTCCTATGCGTGCTCGCTTATGAATATCTCACTTGATGTTATTGCTTGCCTTGCTGGTAACTTACATCACAGGCCTGTACCCTCAGCCTTGAGTCCTGATGATAAGAGGCAGATGAACTGAGGTAACACTCTCCAGGAAAATGGGGTGTGATAGGGCCTCACATGCCTCTCCCAGCAGATTTTGCTCCTTGCAAAGATCTGACTCCATCTTAGCAAAAGCCATCTCTGCAGTGGTGGTACCCTCTAGCAGGTGTGCCCAACTTTTTGACATTGTACTGTGATGTTGCCATCTATAAAGTTCATGCTGGAACACTGTGCAAATTATACCCCTTCCTCCCTAGAAAAAAGTTTATGAATTTTGTTTTAGACCTCATTCATAGCTTTCCTTGGCCTGCATGAGCCTGCAATAGGTTGGATATACACTTGCACATCTCAGCTAAAGGGTCCGTTTCCTCTGCTCCAAAAGGAAATTCCTACAGAGAAGACATGAATCAGTCATGTATGCCGTGCCAACTGCCACCTGGGTTGCCGGCATTGCACACACTTCTTTTGTAGCACAGCCCCAGCTTTGCTGTTTGCTTAAGTCCCCTGTTCCAAGCAGGTCAGAGCACCCCTTGGAGATCTTTATGATGGCAGCTGCTGTAATTTCCTGGCAGGAAACCTATCCGAAAACAGTGTCCAACACATACTCCATCCTCCATCATGACAATGTGAATGATTAAACAGATTCGTGTTTGAGGCATGTTCTCATTGTGTGCAAGCTCCATTAAAAACAATTAAAACTTGGCCAAAGTTCTTTTCAGATGATTAATAGACCCATCTCCACTTCTTTTGGGAGATCAGTTTCTAAAAACACCTACCTTTGCATCAACAAGGTTGATGCCTGGAATTCAGGTGTACAGCTTTCTAGAAGCTATTATGTACTTGTGCAAAAATTTTTAAAAAAGAGGAGGGTGTTATATTTACCTAAGTTCTGAACAAACATGGCAGATCTTAGTAACCAATGTCCCAGGCCAACATGATTAATAAATGAAGCTAGTTATTAGCTATCCATCACTTGTAAAACATAAAAGTGGGCTGCTAAGATGGCTCAGCAGGTAAATACGCTGGCTGCCAAGACAACCTGAGTTCGATCCCTGGGACCCACATAGTGGAGGGAGAAAACCCAAGTTGTCCTATGGCCTCCACACTTGTGCTATGGCAAGCACACCCATACAAGCACACAGACACACAGACACACACGTAAATGTAAACATTTACAAACAAAACTGGGTAACTGTTATCTTGATGATACAAAGCAACTCTCAAAGAAAGTTCTCCCAGTTTGAATACAATTAATGCACGCCATGTTTCTCATGCTTGTCCATATTCCCCTTGACTTGAATTTGGAACCAAGTTAGCGTTATGTATGAAATTTACCACAGAAAGGCTTAAGAGCAGGTTGCTGAGCGTATCAGGTGAGATGAGCTTGTAAGACATAAAACTGTGATGAACTTTTTTTTCCATCAGGCAAGGTATCTACTATGAAGGCCACTGTATTGTTTAATAGCTGATTCCTTTGAGTTTTGTGGTGTGTGCATGCATGCACATGCATATGTGCACCTGCACGTGTGCACACACCCATGTGGAGGCCAAAGGCGAAGCTAGGTGTTGCTTTTCAGGAGCCATCCACCTTGTTTTGAGAAACAGTCTCTCAGTGGCCCGGGGCTTGTGGGTTAGGCTAGGCCAACTGGCCTTGGATCCCCCAGTCTCCACCTACCCAGTGCTGGGATTACTAGGCAGCAACAATTCCTAGTTGTTTTGCACGGGTTCTGGGGTTGAAGATGGGTTCTTATGTTTCCATGGCAAGCATTTTACTGACTGAGCATCTCTTCTGCTGTTTACTGCAGGGCTTTAGTTTTCCTCCCAGATTTTTGTACAAGGGCGCCTGGTCAACTTTGAGATAGGAACTCATTTCTAAGAAGTTCAGGATGGATGACTGAACTGGGACTAAGTAGGATGTACAGGATGTGGTTATTTCCGTCCGCACTCACCTGACTTGCTGGTCATAGTGGCCCAAGACTTCACTACCACTCTTGGGCTTCAGACATCTGCAGAGGACATTCATCATCTCTAATTTATAAATGATGGGGCTGGATAGATGGCTCAGCAGTTAAGAGCACTGACTATTCTTGCAGAGGAACCGTGTTCAATTTCCAGCACCCACATAGTGGCTACAAACCGTCCTTGGGACTCTAGTTCCAGGGGAATCCGAAGCCCTCTTCTGACCTCCACAGCACTGCATGACACTGGTGCACTCACTTATATGCAGGCAATACACTCATACACATAAAATAAAAAAAAAAAAAATAAGTCGGGCGTGGTGGTGCATGCCTCTAAGTCCCAGCGCTTGGGAAGCAGAGGCAGGCAGATCTCTGTGAGTTCAAGGCCAGCCTGGTCTACATAGTGAGTTCCAGGACAGCTGGGGCTACAGGGAGACCCTGTCTCAAAAATAAATAAATGAATGAATGAATGAATAAATAATAAAACAAAAAATATAATTTATAAATGACACAGGCTTCTGAGGTTTCAAGGGACTTGCCCAGTTGAGTTGGTCAATGGGATGCTGGGTAACCCCCTTAGCACGAAGGTCAGAGGCAAAATCCCCCACCCCGTCTGTTAGGTCAGGAACCCACACCCTCTGCTGAGGTCCCCTCCCAGCTGTGGCAGAACACCAGAAAGGGAATTCCTCTGCCCAGACTCCCAGACACAAATGCAAAGTTCACAGGTCTTGACTCTTTCCCACAGAGGAACATGTGTTTTTGTGGAAAGACCACACAGAGGAGTCAGGATCTCCCTGTTGTTTCCAGAATCTGGCCAGTTGGCAGTGCAGTCTGAGTCACATTAGGAAACCATGGACACATTTGGCTGGAAGGAATTTAGGGATTGTCTCTGCTGGTGCTTCAGAACCACAACTACTCATTAGAGCAGATTCCTGCGCTTCCCTCCCAGAGGCTCTGATTTAGTAGGTCTGGCGCATCATTGGCTTTTCTTGCAAGCTTCCAAGGCATACTGACTGATTCATGGACCACACTTGAGTAGCATTGGCCAAATGCTACCTTGTCTTAAGATGGATTGGAAAGCTCCTTCCTAAAGGCCAGAAAGTAAATATTTCAGGGTCTGCAGGTTGGTCAGCCCCATTGCAAACTAAACAATTCTATTTCGGTGTTATACACATTAAACTGTGTGTGGACACAGCATGGATGTCTCTCACAAATCCATTCAAAACCAGGAGGCAGAACTGGGTCGCAACTGGCTGAGCCCTCCCTATAGGAATCCCCATATACTTAGAACAGTTTGGGTCTCCGGTCCTTCCCTCAACTCCATTTACAGTTGCAAAACTAGGGCTGCAATTTCTGGTCATATCTTCCACATGACTGATGAAATCCCATCAGTGAGCATTCAGAAAAACCATTCCATAGCAGGCCAAGTAGTTCTATATTATCAACTACAATGTTAATATTTGTGTTTTATAAAGATTTTTTAAATTTATGTTTATTTGTGTGTATGTCTGTGTGTGGCCATGTACGTGTGTGTAGGTGACTGCAGAGGTCAGAAGAGGGCATCAGATTCCCTGGAACTGGAGTTACAGATGGTTGTTAGCTACCACACTGGTGCTGGGAACTGAACTCCAGTCCTCTGCAAGAACAGCTAGTGCTCTTAACTGCTGAGCCACCTTTCCAGCATCTGTCCAATGTTTTGTATTTATATTGAGTTTGATTTTATTTTTCTTCTGGTTTATCGGCATAGAAGAATATATACATTAAAAGATGAGAAAAGGGATCCCTTGGAATGGTAATTTAGGAACTTTCTTGGTATCCACCAAATAAAAACAGCCTCCACAAAGTACAACGAAAAGTGAGTATCTTACAAGGTTAGCAAGGGGAAATGAGAACAGGTAGCTAGAACGTCTGTTTGTAAACCATTTTAAGGAAGAAACACTCTACAAACAAATGCATAACCAACAAGTTATATTATTTTTATTCATGTTAGAATTTCTATCAGTGTTTGAACATTAATATTTAGAGAGTTTGTACATTTTCTTTCACCTTCCAAGGTTTAGAATGAGAACCACACTAGGCCACAATGCTCACTAATCAATACTTCCCAATCACATGGAGAGCCACTCACTTCCACTCTCTTAACACTGTTAAACATCTCTTCTTCCTTGTAATTTACAATGAAGTGCCCTCACTCGTGTCTCAGCAAAGTTCCAGACATTACGGATTCATCACATATAAATTCTTTAAAAATATACTTCTGTCAAAAGACTTGATGCCTACTATGTACACTACAAAAATAAATTTTCATATAAATAAATTATATGGCATACTTTTATCTTTGTAATTGAAATGACACAAGCTCATTTCCACCCAAATTGGCAGATGAGACCCAGTTTGAATATTTCCTTTAAACTTCTTACACTAAAACCTACCATGAGTCCTTAATGTCAATGTTATATACTCTGAACTATTTAACATTAGTAAGCACTCTATACAAATAAAAATTCTGTTCAAAAGTAAAACATAACTGTAATAGTGTTTCCAACAGAAATAAAATCCCTGCATTTCTTGTTATAAACTGGCATGACAAATACTGGAGGAACACATTCTTATGATACAAAATTATAAATATCAGCAAAGATCGTTTTTAAAAAAATTAAAACACTCAAATGAACAAACAATACAGACAAAATAAAAATACGAGCGAGCAAGAGAGACAGCAAGAGAGACGAGTGAGAAGAGAGAGGACAGGGGAGACACTGATTCAGACTGTAGATGCCTGCCAGCTCTGTGTCCAGCCTTGGCCAATGTGACTCATGGAGAAATATCTACACTGTATAGAAATCAAGAAAGGGGCTGTACACGCTTCCTCTTGCCCATGAGCTACGGACTCAGGAGTGAGGGCACAACCGAGAGCCACAGGGAGGTGGCCTCAGAATTTTGTACCTCCCTCAACTCAGGATGCAAGTTCTCTCAGCAGAACTTGGAAAGGCAGACAGTGGCTGATAGGCATCAAGACAGTAGCAATAGGTGGCCAGGGCCCCTGGCACATGCGTGTGAGCATAAACACACACACACACACACCTACACCACAGAGAGAAACAAAACAAAACACATACACACACACACACACACACACACACACACACACACACACACACACACACACCTAGCAGCCACAAATGGCTTCCAATTAGTACTCTACAGTTTGGGGGTGAGTTTTAGGGTCTGAGGTCACTGGACTGCTGGCACTATTAGAAGCCCATTGCCTTCTCTTAAGATTATCCATGTAGGACAGACAGGAGGGAATCATGGGAGCTGTCACTGGAGTGCTCCTCACAGTAACTTTGAGGGCTGCAGCCATAGACACCAGGCCCTTTCCTCTTGGACAATTTCTGGGTGCTTATTTGGAAGGGGTACTGTATACTGCCTCCTCATCTACTGGTCTCTGGCCAAAGAGGTGAAGAAGCCCAAACCTTGGGGGCAAGAGAATAGAATCAAGCTCTAAAAACTAGAGCCTGGCTCAGAGATCCACCTCCATACATGTGCTTCTGTCAGGCAACATCTTCCTGCTCCTCAGTGGATATCACACTGAAAGGACACTAACAGTGGAGAAGGGAAGAAGTGTAGAGTAAATGAACACACGGAGAACCCTTGGAAGCTCATATTCTACACGAATGATTGCATTACCATCAGAGAGCCCCAAGCGGCCAGGAAACTCAGGAAGAGAGGGCATTCAGATTGTAGGGAATGGAGTGTCATCTCTTGGCATACTATTTACTTTGAATGAACTAAATAGATTTTTCTGCCCGTATTTGGCCATGGGGTAGGGATTATATGTGCATGTATGCAGAAGGGCACACTATCACACTTTTCTAGATGAGAATCTCATGGCCCTGCTGGGACTCACCACCAGGCATGCTACCTAATTATCACCAAATAAAGACTATTGGTTCCATGTACTGAGGTTCCAACACCCAACATCATATCATGGTCTATGAGAATTATTCAATTTGAAGCACAGGATGAGGTGTCTGGAGGGCCAGGAATGATCTCAGGAGATACCTAGGGCACAAAGCTGGTCTTGCCTCTCCTGGACTATCAGACAGATGATGAGGGCTATTGCTCTACCAGCACTAAACCATCAAGATACCTTGACTTTCCCAGCTTGACTAGATCAGAGCCTGCTGGGGGTTACACACAGCAAAGAGAAACAAACAAGATACAAACACCAAATCACAGTACAGTACATAGGGAAATCACACATGTCCACACACACACATACACACATACCCATGAGAGCTGCACAAAACTACCCCTAGAGAAGCCACTGGGATTAACGTGCTTTCTTCATATCTGCTCATTAAACAATTATCACGCATAGCGTGTTTGAAAGTTAACAGTATCATTTCATACTACCACAGGGTTGTGATATGCAAATTTAAAATATTTTAAACAGAAACCTTTACAAAATAATCCTATTACATAAGCAATATTTGCATAGAATTATACAAGTAAATTATACAATATTTAAGCAGCAGCAACATATGCTGGAAATTTAAAACTAAGTTAAGCTTGGTTGTAGCACAGAGACCAATGTACAAATAGTGATAGGCCCCCTGTGGCCTCCCCACTCTGGGGCAGGAATGGAGAGGTCCCAGGCTACAAGACTTTACAACATTCCCTCATATATTACATATGTGTACACCTCTTAAATATTTATAGAAATATTTAACAAAATAATACAAATGGTTACAGTAACATTGAACTGCTCGCCCATAATTCCAAGCAGTTCTCTTCAAGCAGTTCTGGAAAGAGGTGGGGTGGGCTTTTCCAATCTTTGGCCTCTTTGCTTCAGATTTTAATCACCCTTTAAAAGAAAACAAAAAAGGAAGTCACATCATGAACACTCACTGAACTGTATGCCTCTCACACACAGACAGCCCCTAACTTAGGATAGCTCAACTGAGAGGCCTTGGATTCTACAATGGGCTAAGTGCAGTGTTAAATGTGTGTGTTAGATATACTTCCATCATATAATGTAATGTGTATGCTTGATAGGATGGTGAAAAGCACTGGCAAACAGGTACAAGGTGAAGTTGTGAGGGCACTGTGTTAAATAAACTGCACTTAATAAGTTAATAGTAAGAGAAAAGAAATCAAGTTTGGTTTCTGATATTCTAAGGAAGACAAAGCTTGGCCACATCAGCCTTGTCTTAGGGAGAAAAGATCCTCAGGGTCCAGTTTGGAATGTGCCAGTGCCCAAGTGACCCTGGAAGGCACAGCCTGAGCACACTCTCTCTCTCCTCTCTCTCTCTCTCTCTCTGCATCCCCAGGGCACCTGTGGTACACACCTTAGTTGGAGCTGCTTCCCCACGGCCTCTCCTCACATTCCACATCCTGCAGCTCTATAACTTCCACCTTTGAGTCCCTCCTTTCGCACCGGACGTGAAAAGGCACATGGGGGTCCTCAAACAGCCCGTGGTCAGTTTCAGGATAGCTCTGATAGCCTGGGCAGGGTCCCCCCCGGGGGTTCCGCCCAGGCCCAGGTGGGGGATGCACAGCAACAGTCACAGAAGCAGAAGCCGTCACAGTGGTGATGGGCTGGCAGTAGCTGGGCATGGAGCTGCCTATGGCAGTGGACGCTAGGTTCCGAGGGTTATGAGAACGAGCCCCACGGGGGCCCGAGCAGTCCCTATTGCTAGGGCCAGAATGCCCTTCAGTAGAAATTTCAAAAGCGTCTCTGCGCGGTCTGTAGGGTGGTGGCCGCAAGCCTTCTCTGGGGGGGTCCCTGCAAGACTGCTGGTCTTGCCGTCCAGAGGGCAGGAAGCCCGAGTCCAGGTGAGGCTGCTGTCGAGGGTTAGAGGGAGGGTGATGCCTCGATTCAGGATGGACCACCTGCAGAGGGTGACACAGGTTAATACAGGGAAGCAAGGTGCTGACCCCAGACTAGGCACATCAAACTTTGTCATCCCTCCCAACTCTAGGGGGCCAGTGGGGAATCTTCCATGCACAAACGAAAAACCTTTACTTAAATAATTTCTGGGATGTGGCAAAGACCGCTTTATTTGGATCCTGATTTCAAGTCTACTCCAGTACAACTGGCTGGAGACGTATGGCCATTGCCCACAGCTGTCTCCCTCCCATGATCCATTGTCCCACTCTGCTCATTCTAGCCAGACCCTAGGTTCCTCTCCTCAAACTGCTAAATGTCTGGCCCTAAGACAGATCTGTCTACACCTATGCAGTCACATGCAGCAGCCTTTAGAGACATGGCTCCGGTTTCTGGGTCACACTAGCTCTGTTTCATCTGCCTCCTAACCATGTGTGGCCAGAGGCTACTGTCTGAAGAGCAGAGAGAATGTTTCCACCATGGCAGAAAGTTCTGTCGGATAGTGCTGCTCTGTCCAATCGTTAGGAATTTGGTGTTTCTGGGTCTCTATACAAAGCTCGGCACAACACAGTGGCCACATCAATCAAAAGGACCGTGACCAACTTCAAAGTCGTTCAGCTTGTACCTATTTTTAGGCTCCTGCTGAACAAAACCAGATTCACACTGCAGCTCAGCAGGCATCGTCACGGGGGTGGGGGGGTGGACAATTCAGGTTACTTGGTTGGCCTCTCCTTCATGGAAGGCTGCTCTGGCCTGAGACTGGAATACACATTTCCTGCATGGATGGCAGGGGCCTTGGTGGAAAACAGGAATCTTGGAAACTTCCTTGGTTCCTTGAGGCTGAGCATTTTGCTTGGATGTGGTGGGGGCTGAAGAATGGGCTCCATGGTCCTCCTCACTACCTTCAGGAACTGCTAAAGGTAAGAGCCCAGGGTGCTTCCAAGCTTCCATATATTTCTATCCACCTAAAATATGAGCTTGGAGTCACAAAAGCTATGGGAAAGTCTTTGACAATAATCAAAATAATTCTGTACCAAGGCCAATTAAAATAGAGATGAGAAGAAAAAATAAAAACTTCTCATGGCAATAAAAAATATCACCGCAGTTCTTCACATATCATTCTGAAATGATATGTAGCTTACAGGGGAAAGGCTGAAAAGGAGGTGAAGAACGGCCCAGAGGCTCAAAATGCACTTTGTTAAAATATAATACTCTTTATTTTCCTGGGCAGGGCTGGAGAATCAGCCCCAGATATTTGAGCATTTTAGGAAAACACTTTACTACTAAGTTGCATTTCCAGCATAACAATGTTGGACTCTGCCCTGTTTTAATCTATAAAGATTAAAAGAAAGCATTTTTATAGTCTACAAAGAATCAAATGCTGGCAGTTTCTTGGGGTTTGACCTGGTTTATATACTTTCTTCTTGAGCCCCATCTGTCTATGCCATTTGCTGCTCAGATAGGCAGGGGCCTCCCCTGGACCTTCTGGCCCACTGCCACAAGAGGGATAAATTTTGCCCTGTCCCTAGGTGACTCACAGTGGACCGGGCGAAGACAGGGTTTTCTGTGGCTTCCACGATCACTTGGTGGGCAGGGCCTCCAGTGCCCTGCTGTGCCTCATAGTGCCTAAGCTCCTCACTGATGCCGGACACTGTTGTCTGAGAACTGTACTCTGAGTCAGAGGAATCAGACCCATTGTTCATGTGACCAGGAGGCACTGCAAACCGGACAACACTTGGGGGTGGCTCAGGTGAAGGGGTGGGCAGCCGGCTCAGGCCATTGGCTGGAGACACCTATTTAAGGGGATTACAGATAAAAAGCATTATTGTCCCTTATCTGTTGGCCAATTTTGAAGTTCAAAGCATGGTGTTACTCTTCAGCCTCTATCGCCTGATAGAGGACCACACACGCTATATTTATTTCCCTCCTTCCTGCCACCTGGAAGACCCCAAGATCCTGATGCAAAAGCACCGTTTCTTATTTTCTAACACTGGAATGGTAAGACAAGTGGCCTCTACACCTGATAAGCCCAAATATTTGTCTGAAGTGGAAAACCCTCCTTATGCATCTGAAAGATTGAAGCTGCTAATCAGTTGGCTTAAAACAGAAGAAATTACACTCTCCACTCTCAACTATCAAGTGAAAAAGTAAAAAGTCACTGCTGTATGTTGACTGAAAAAGCACACAATTGGCAAATACAGAAATACCAAACTGTCTATAGTAAGAGCAGCACTGGGGAAACAGCATGCAGGTGGCCTGTGGATCGGACAGCTCAGCACAATTACTAACCTCAGGACATGGTCCAAAGAATGATAAGAGAACAGGAAGCAGCACCAGTCCATTGAGAACTCCCAGGATGGTGAGGATCGCCAGAACAGCAAAGAAGTACCTTGAGATAAAAGGGCAACCGGAACTGTCAGTGTGACAGATGAAAACTGTGCCACCCTCTGTGTGCCCAGATAGTGCTGCATGTCTGCAATTTAGCTCGACAACCCCACCCCACTGAAAAGGTAGGTATGAAACTATAGTTTAAACTTAGCACAAGATCACTTTTTTAACCTTATGACCCCTGAGGACTACATTTTATAACCCACAGTGTTAGTTCATGAAGGGAAGGGAAAAAATTAGTTTGTTAATTTGTTGAAATCTCATGCATGTAATGTTATTTATGAATGTGTTACACCAACACAGAAATATGGAATGTGAACTGAATGACTGAGCAAACTGAAAGCACAAACACAATGCCGAGGGGCCCGCTCATGAAAACCCAGCAGAAGCAAACAAATGAAGTGAAGGGTGTAGAATTTAAACAATTTGGCCCAGGAGGAAAAGCAGCCCGCTTCTGCAGGCAGCTAATCCACTGTGAAATGCTCCTGCCTCTTACTGCAGAATCTCTAATTAAGTCTCTAGTGTATCAGGTAAGGCTTCCCCTGGGTTTTCATTAATCACAACTTTCTGCCTAGAATTCTGTAAGTTCCAGTTTTACCAAATAGCTCCAATTGCAACCTTTTTAGAACATAGGAACCAGTTTTCTGCAAAGAAAACGCTGCCCATTCTGTGGGAGCCAGGGCATTGTGCAGAGTGAGGGCGCTCCACAATGGCGGGGCTGCTCTGCAGGCCGATCTTTTGTTGAACAATTTAGCATCTCTGAATACTCTTGTTTTGCGTCAGCCAATTCAAACATAAAGGCTGAAGCACCATGGAAGAAGAGGGAGAGCACTCTAGTAACTCTGCTTTCCCACCATTGAGGGTTAAGGTCTGCGATCCTTCAGGAAGACCAAGGTAAACCTGTCAGCCAGGGACCGCCTCTGGCCAGCACACTGCACAGCTGGAGGGGCCTACTCCACGAAAGCATGCATTCCTGGACCTAATGATTTCTAGGGCTTTGATTGAAGTGGGCTGGGATGGGGGAGAGAGAGGCTTAGGATGTTATGGAAAGAGGGAGGGAAAGATATCTATCTGTTAATGGTCCCCTGGATCATAAAACGGAACAGGCACCCAACTCTACCGTGTCTATATGTGTTTCAACATTAGATGAAAGCAGAGAGAATCCCTATAAAAATACAAATACCTCACAGCTATTGTAAACACTAGAAACTTCTGAGCTGCATTAGTTTAAAAAAAAAAACCAAGCAGCCAATGTCTTGCTGTAATATAAACTGCTGGAACTTTCAGTGGAGGCATCTATCAGCAGCAGGCATTAAGACATTTGCATCCCATCCATCTAACTGTAGCATAAACAGACCAATTAGATTTCTGACGGCTTCATGTACACAGTGTCTGGTCATTTATTTGACTTCAGTGAGGACTTTATCCATCCTGTTTTAGAAAATGGGAAGCCCTTCTAAGTGCTTGAAACAGGAACCCTGATATCTCGGGGAGGGAACAGACAGCCCAGGGTGAGGGCAGGATGAGAGAGCTGGGTTCTGCTCCCCACTATCCCCTGCGAGACTGCACTGGTTCCTTGGGTAACCTGCAAGCTCTCTGCACACACCCTGTATCTCTCCTGGCTTTGAACTGCCTAGAGGACCTGAGTCTCCCAACCCCTACAGGCCACAAGCCACAAGCCACACAGAAAGTATGAAACGGCACTTAGGAAGCTGGTGTTAAAGTGTTCATGCAAAAGAAACCCTCTTTGGCATTGGGCTTTTATATACCACAGAGACAAAACTAACATCTGAGTGAGTGTTCTGAAGAAATAAAATCAACAATGTAAAACAAAACAAGTCCAAACCTTGATCTACGTGAATTTCACTGGCATCTGGCAAGTATGAATCTACTCATTGGTTTGTTAATTTATCAAGAGGTTGTGTGACTAGAGTGCATGGGCCTACCTGGAAAGGCCCCCATTCATCTACATTTCAATAGCCTCAGATGATTCTCAGAAGCATGCAATAGTCATACAGAAGTGCTGGTCCACTGGGAAACATATACCACCCTTTCCTTACTCTACCCTAAACACAGTGAGCCAAACGCTTTCACTCCAGGATGACTCAATATGGGATACTTGACTGCCCAATGGACTCTGCTACAAGAGTTTTTGTTTTTTAAATACAGTGGGGACTGAATCCAAGGCCTCATGCACTCTAGCCAAGTGCTCTGCCACTGCGCTAGCTACACCCCAGTCCAACAAACATTTTTCTTCTATTTTAAACTTTAGCTAAACTTCTAGCTAAAATCCTTTTTATTTGAAAATGATAGCATTCCCTTCCCTACCAGCCCCTACATGTGTGCACACATGGAAAGCTTGATTAGAGTCAGATGGAGTGGCACACACCTGTAATCCTAGCATCTGGGAGGCTGAGGCAGAACATTCAGTTCAAAGCCATCCTCACCCATATAATAACTTCACTGCCAGACTGAGCTACATGAATCCTTGTTTAAAAAAAAAAATCTCATGAATTCAAGGCCAGCCTGGTTTACATAGTGACTTCTAGGACGGCTGGGGCTATAAGGGAGACCCTGTCTCAAAAAGACAAAAAACAAAAAACAAAAAACCCTCAAACTCTCCCTAAGCATTTACTTGCCCTCCCTAGATATTTTTCTGCTTTTACCCACAGCATTAATTTTTTTGAAAAGTGTTTGAAGAACAACCAGGCTACATATCAAGTTCCAGCCCAGTCTGGGTCACATAGATCTTGTCTCAAAGATTATCAATAAACCCAACAAAATAGCTTGATTGAGATTCTCTCTCTAGATACGGAGCACCTGCCACACACTCAGCTCATTTCTTTGGTTCTGGCTTGTTCTAACTCCTTACCAGCTTCTTGTTGAGGACTTGGGTTTTGCCTCTTCACAATGTCATGTTATATACAAGCATGGCCACTCATGAAGAGAGCTGTTTAGAGAACAAGGTTTCTTTCTTTTGCAAATCTCAAGGTTCTTTATAAAAGGAAAACTCACTCTCCTTTTATACTTTGTTATGCAACGTTACCATCTTAAACCATCTAAACCAAGCATCAACAGCCTACCTTGGGAGCCAAAGAGTAGTATATAGATCACACTTAGATTTCCTAAATTTGACAAGAGTCAAATGTTCAGTGCTTCTTACGTCTCAAATATGAAATGTGGGCACACTATATTCATTTCTTTGAAGACTAAAGTCTAGCCAGGTGTGATGGTGCATGCCTTTAATCACAGCACTTGGGAGGCAGAGGCAGGTGGATCTTTGTGAGTTTGAGGCCAGCCTGGTCTATCGTAGCAAGTTCCAGGCTAGACTGGGCTACAGGGAGACCCTGTCTTAAAATGACAAAATAAATAAATAAACAAACAAACAAATAAATAAAAATAAAAGTCTAGCTTTACATAACCATTTTGGGTGTATGTTGTTTTCTACAGTCTGCTTTTTTGTTTTATTTGTTTTTAATGCAGGGTTTCAAGCATCACTGGCTGGCCTCAATATGTACTCAAGGATGACCCTGAATTCTGATCTTCCTGCTTCCACTTCTCAAGGACTGAGATTACAGAGAGGTGCCACCCACCTGGTTTGTGTGGTGCTAGGGATAGAACCCAAAGCTTCACGAATGGTAGACAAACACTCTACCAACCAAGCCATATCCCCAGCCTTTCTGCAGTTTTAAAGGCGATGAAACAGAGGCCAAACATGGTTAATTAATGGAAACCACAGCTATCTCTCTGTAGCTATTTCTAATGTGAAACACCAACATTTAGGATATTAGTATGATTCTTTAGCTTCAAACTGTGAAGTTCACTGCAAGCCTCTGAACCCCTCTCTACCTTAGGTCTTTAAAATACTCCCACAATACCTCTAAGAGAGAGCTTGTCTTTTAACTTCTGAGATAAAAGAAGGTTGAGCCACAACAAAGAGAAGCTTCAATCTACCAAATACAGGAGGGAACAAGCTACAAAAATCACAGAGGCAAATATCAATGATTTTTTTTTAAAGCAAGTCTGCTCTCCCACTTCTGCTTACCTGACAATGAAATCAAATTCAGACCCCGCCAGCATCAGTACTCCCAGCAGAGTGGACACAGCACCATCCAGAACAGGTGCAAACATGTGTTCCAAGGCAAGCACGGCCCTGCGGTTCTTGTCACCAATTGCTGTCAGAAAGGCCTAACGAACAAGAATTCAGATGATCACGTTCTTGAACTGTACAGCAGTGAACTAATAAAATGTTCAGCTTTGTCTGTATTTAGGTTTTTGTTGGTTGATGTATCTCAAGCTGGCCTCAAACTCACTATGTAGCCAAGGATGATCCTGAACTTCTAATCCTCAGGACTCTGCTTCTGGAGTGCTAGGATCATAGGTGCACACAATTATACCTGGTTTATGTAGTGCTGGACAATCAAACCCAGGGCCTCATGTGTGCTCGGCAAGCATGTTACCAACTGAGCTACAGTCCCAGATCACTAAGTACTATAATTCTTAAAGCACTGTTTATTAAGTCTTTTTAAGGGTCATTTCATCCTTTGGGTATAGGAGGTTTGTATTAGTCCATTTTCTGTTACTATATAACAAAGACCTGAAGCTGGGTATTTTCCAGTTTATGTTATACTGTTTATGTGGCACAGGGGAATCAAACAAAAGGCTTTGTGCGTACTAGGCAAGTGCTTTACCACCTGAGCTGCATTCTCAGCCTCAGCTTGGCCTGGAATGGTGGAAGCTGCTTCCATCTACCTCTCCACCATGTATTGCTCAAGGTTTTACTGTTTAACTCCTAGAATATTTAATTGCTGTTGTTAAATCTAGGCTTACTACACTGCCCTGTTCGTGGTATTGGGCCATATTTAGTGTTGATGCAAATCTTGAACAAAACCAAAATTATATAAGAACCCACATAAGAAAAGCAAGCAGAGTGGTGTGAGCTTGTAATCCCAGTAGTGCAGAGGTGGAGAGAGGTGGGAGCTTTCTGACCAGCCTGCTCAGCCTACTTAGCAAGATCCGGGCCAGTGAGAGACCCTGTCTCAAAAAGCAAGTACTTCAATGATGATACATGTGGCCTACACATGCATGTGCACGTACACACACAATTCTAGGATATTATTTGTAAATTATCATCTTCTTAGTAACTTTAAAACATTCCTTCTGAAACAGCAAAGTTAACCTGTGAATTGCACAGCAATAACCAAGTGTACTCTATGTGCTAAGCCCAAAGAGCAATGCTTAAGTCACTTGGTTCTGAGCTAGATTTCCCAACCTGAGTATTGTAAGCATCAGCATGTGCTCCATAAGTACACATTTATCAAATGCCTGCTAATAACCCAGATATTTCAAGCTTGAGGACAGCTGTAGGTGGAATGCAACGTGCAAACTAAGAGGATTCTGACTAATTTTCTGGTCAGTGTATACAGCTGGCTCGTCTTTTGGATTCAAGATTCCTTCTGCAGTTTAATTTCTTCTAACAAAGCATTCACAGAACAAGACAGCATGGGAAGAAAGAGGGCCAGAGTCCTGGTGAGAGCACCCTGGTTCTCTTGTTCTCTGCTGCCATGGACGCAAGCAGAGGCTGGGAGGTCCATGGAGCTGGGTGGGCTAAGGTGGGAGAGCCAGCTCTTCAGGGCTGAGCACCTGAGCCTTCATTCACAGGCCCGAGGGCATTTGTGGCTGCCAGCTTACCTCACCCTCAATTATGCTAACCCCACCAAGCCTAGGAGGGTGGTCTGTGTTATCCCACTTTAGGACTGCATTCAAAACTGTGCGGATGCATGCCCAAACACACAGAATGTCTGGAACAAGGTGACAACTTCAGGACCCAAAGTGCTTCCAGTCAAAAATCAATATCAAACGTGCAGAGCCCCTTCACCCCTCTTAAAACACTGCCTTGGTATGCAGTAATTTTTATCTTCCATTCCCCTGTCCTTAGGCTCCCCAAGAGGGAGGAAATGCCAGAGAAATTTCAGCCCTCCTTGGGAAAACGCCTATACTCTGAAGCTGTCACTGTGACACATGTGGAAAACCAAAGAACTACAGGAAATGCTGCCTTGTGGGTTAATTTTTATGAATCTTCCATACCAAAGCCACGTGGACGGTGAATTCTACTCCGATGCCAACAGACGCAATCAGGATGACCACAGGTACAGCACTCAGCTTGATTCCAATGAGGCCCATCATGCCAAAGAGCTCAACTGTCATCAAAGCCAGGACCATCACCTTGAAGGAGGCACACAACAGTGAATGGAGCAGGCACATTGCTAGGAGCTGTAAACAATGCAAAGGTCTAAGTCCTAATGTGGCTTCCTTTCAAACTGAGAGCAGACTTGCTGTAACTTCACAACTCCTTACTTCCTACTTCAGCTTCCTGCTGGAAGAGATATTGGGACAACTTATCAGACTAAAGAAGGAGCTCATGTAGGCAAAGTATTCTTTTGTATGTGTATATATGCAGGTGCACATGTGCGACATTCAGCTGTTGTTCCGTGGGGGCCAGCCACCTTTGTTTTTTGAGGCAGGTCCTCTCACTGGGACCTAGAGCTCACTGATTAGGCTACGCTGACTGTCCAAGGACTCTCCTGTTTCTGCCTCCCCAGTTCTGGGATTACGAACACACTACCATACCTGACTTTTTACATAGGGAATGAACACCAGCCCTGTATGGCAAGCACTTTACTGAGTGGGCTACCTCCTTAGCTCCAGGTTTAGTATTCTTTGAAAGTTGTTTTTCTAATAGGCCTGTCTAGAATGTGAAAAATGCAGGGACTACACCCTGGGAGCTGTATAATTCTATTAAGAATTATATAGCCATGAACTCATCACTTAGCGACCAATTTTATATACAGTGGGCTGTTTATATCTGTGGGTTCCCATCTATGGATTCCAACTATAGATTGAAAAATACTTAGGGAAAATGCATAACTAAGTACAGACTTTTTTCCCTTGTCGTTAATAACATAACTACAGAGCACTTACATTCTATTAGGTATTGTAAGGATACTTCGATGTGCCATGCAAAAACTGTGATGCGCTGTATATAGGACTTAGCATCGACAGACTCTGGTACCATGGGTGTCCTGGAGCCTATACCTGGAACAACTGTGGTTCACAGCAAGGTTTTCCTTCTGCTTTGATCTTAAGCATCAGAAAGTATGCTTCAACTCGTGAGCTGATAGTGCAGAGTTTTTGGTCACTACACCCTGGCCTTCTAAAGAAAGCCGATAGGGTAATAAAGGCAAAAGAGGCTGTCCTTAGACCCTTTCATCTTCCTTGTAAAAGGTATGGAGAAATGGAAAGAAAATCTGTGAGGGGTACTTTGGAGTTTCTTGGGCCAAGGAGGAGAAAATACAAGCACCCTCCTCTACTTTCCTACAGGGAAGAACAGGAGAAAATGATCTTTCTTGCTAGGGGAAGGTTGGGGGTGTGCAGGGCAGTGGGTGGTGGTGGAGGTAGGAGAGGGAAATTGAAAGATGGACGCCATCCACAACTTAAGAGCTGTGAAAACTCCTGCAGACTAAACATTTACCTTTAATGTACCTGCTGCTGCCCAGACTCGTGCTACAGACACAAAACCTGTTCTCTGTCTTTATAATTTTGGCATTTTAAAAGTTATACCACAATTCATGGAATTTAAATGCTGCCATGATTTCATTTGACTCACTTCAAAGCTGAGAGTAATTTGGAGAAAAGATGCTCCAAATAGGTTACAGGGGCAGCTCTTCATTAATCATTTTTCCTATGAGTTCAGCACATAGGATACACAAAGAACCCTATTTTCCCCTTATACCTCCATCTATGTATGGCTTCCACATTACACAGAAAAGAACTTTCTGTGTATTAGTCTGAGATGAGGCCACACAATGAGACTTTAGAATTAGAAAAGAAAATTAGTTATGGTTTAGTTATTTTTATTTAATAAACGCACAGAGCTATTCTGGAGTATGCATACAAAGCTCCTATCTTGCACATGCATGTTTTAATGCTGTGGGAGAGGGGACACAGATTCGGCCATTAAAGGTTGTACCTTCCCCATGAACCTCACCACCTCGAGTAGAATAAATATATTACAGATGATGCAATCTATACCCTCCTCCAAAGCCCAGACATAAACAAAACTTCCCGGCTGCAGAAAGAGCTATGCTGAAAGGAATTTGACTTCCACAAAGACCCTTATAATAAACTCACAATGATCCCGGCCGTCCAGGGGTTCAGCAGGAAGACTGCACACACGAGAAACGTGCAGGCCAGCACCACACTGATGGCCAGTAGCAGCCAGTGGCGCAGGCTGATATACTGCTCCCAGAAGAGGAAGGGGTAGCCGTTGGGGTAGCTGGACAGCCCCAGGCGCGTGTAGTTGTTGCAGATGGTTCTTACTTTTTCAATGGCTTCTACGAAGTCTGAGGTGTCTCGTAGGCCGTTGAGGTAGAAAGGGAACTGAGCATATTCAATGGGCTCTGCTGCTGGGACTGACACAGAAGATACCAGGTTAAGGGAGGTGTCAGTGCAGCGCCTCTTCATCCTGACTCCATAGGTGCAAAAATCTCCACGGTTGTTGGGTATGACATAGAGAACTTCCCAGAAAAGTTTACCTTTACCTTTCTTCCAACACAGTGAAATAAGACATATTTCTGGGCATAGTCATAGTTAAGTAATACTCAACATTGTTTTAACCTTTGAGGTGTTTGTGGGGGGGATCAGAGGACAACCTTGGGCATCAATTCTCACTCTCTTTGATTCAAGGTCTCTTGTTCGCTGCTGCATACACCAGGCTGGCAGGTCCCCAAACTCCCAGGTATTTCTAGTCTCCTTTATTTTATAGGAGCACTGAGATTGCGGATATACACTAACACACGTGGGCTCTGGGGATTCAAACTCCAGTCCTCATGCTTGTGTGGCAACTGTTTTACCCACTGAGTCATCTCCCTAGCTCATAATCAACCCTTTGATTTTTGGAGGGTAGGGGAATAACAGGAGAAGGAGTCTGTGAGCTATGTGGTTTTTCTAGCATTTGCTCTTATTCTTCTAGAAGCAACCACCATTTGTGAAGGCTATAAATGCCATAAGACTTAAATGCTGGAAATGTGTTTTGTTCCTCTGACACACATGAAAATACTATATTCAGTCTGTTTTCCTTGATCATTTATAAAAGCAAAAAGCAATCCCAGAGTCATGCCTTGCTGAGAAAACACTTCACTTTCTTATCCTTTTAGTGATCTAACTTAAACCTTCCTTGCTTTTCTAATGCAATGCTAAGTCTTCAGCAACAGGGGAAGAAATCCTTACACAACAAGCATTTAGTTACTACCCTTGTGTGTTCCACACCCTTTGGGGTCATTCAGTTGACTTGCTAAACATGATTTGCCCTATTATAATCTCAACTATAAATTTTCATTAAGACAAGCCTTGGCTGCTTGCCACCAGGCACTGGGGCTTAGATACAGGGAAGCGTGGACTGCTGCCTGCCTGGCCATGTTTGCGAAGGGACCCGTCTTCTTTCTCATATCTTCTCTTGGCCCAATATCCAAAGCACACACTGCTACTAACATCTGTAACATAAATGCAAATCCAACGCACACAGAACTACCTTTCAAACTCTAGACTGAGAGGTGAAAGGAAGAGGAGGACACTGTTGTAAACAGACTTTTCTACTCCAGTTTAAACAGCTCTGACAGAGCACAGGTGCTTGGTGGCTTATAGGAATGACCCAACGTGCCAAAAATCCCTTCACCGCCAGAGTTGACAAAGTTAAGATAAACATATAATCCCCAGCGATAAAACTCGGCAATAGTAAAATAACCCTCAATATGGAGGCATCCCCAACTTTCACACGGAACAGCTGGCATCAGGAGAGATGCCTGGAGTTAAAGCTACTAAAGATTAGAGACTCTCATTTCTCAACCTGAGAGCATGGGGCTGTATTCCATTACATTTCCATCCTCATCTGTCTCCCAGAGTTTTAAACTAAAAGAAATATATTGTTCTATTTACACTTTTGAACCCTGGGTAGTGTCAAGGGACAAGGCCGTTACTGAGCTCTAGGGAGCAGCAAAAGGCACCTGTGGGAGCTCCCAGCCTCTGTGGACAGAGCGCTACTTACTTCTCAGCCTGGTTTCTGGCATGTAGTCAGCTTTGTCGTGGACCCACTCTGGTCGATGAGGCCGAATGTTGACTTGGGAGGCGGCGTAAGCCACGGGGTCATTGCTGACCCAAGCCGTCAGGTAGATGTAGAAAGCGCTGGGATTAATGATGCCATCTGCATCCACCAGACGCTGTTTAGTCAACTACAAAATGGGAAGAACAGAGGTTGTTCAGAATGGGCTGTGGGGTAAACACACTCCTGCTGGGAGAGCAAGGCTTTGTACCCATATTTCCAACCAACAACAGAATGCCCATGGCTTGAAAGTGTCCCAAGTCCCACGGGAGTACCTTTGATGTCTTTCAAAATGCAGTTATGGGGGATGCAGTCGCCAGTGTGTTTACAGCAAACACACGGTTCTGCAGATGGCCCAGGAATCGGTTGAACCAATTAAATCTGAATGCTAAAAGACTGTCTGCAGCCAAGGCAGGGAATGAACAATCTGGAGAAACATATTTATAGGAGGGGCAGGGGGGAAACCTGGCAAGAATCCCCATCTACGTCTGTGTGCAGTTAACCTCTGTTGTTAACACTGAAGGAAATGCCACCCAGTAAATGGAGGAGAGCTATAAAAATAAAACAACATCTGTATAAATTTTGCTAACACTAGCCTCCTATGACCTGTGTATTCAAAAAATGCCCATTGCCAGAAAGTGGAAGAGACTAATGCAAAGCCAGGGCCCTTCTGGGCAATCTGATTTCTGAGCCATGGTCAGACTCGGTGGCCAAATCTGCTCCCTCTATAGTATGTCTCCTGGGCTTTGCTTGGCTCAAAGATACCATGAGACTGAGTGTGGAGTATGTATATGGGAGATACATTGAAAAAAGATTTCCTGTTTACTTTAGATCCAGGCCTCCTTCCAACACGTTTGGTCTTTTTTAACAAAATGAAAAACACCAGTGACAGCAGTTCACAGAGAAAGAGTGGAGGAAGAAAGAGCATGGAATAGACGGAGAGAAGCAGACTGCAAGGATCTGGATTCAATTAATCCACAGGATCCGTAACAACTGGAGGTCCTCAGACCGTCTCTGGAATTACATAGCACAGCTCCTGGCCTCCATGCATGTAAGCTGCTCTTCTCTCTCCCAGGCAGAGGAAATGCCATCTGGGTGCCTGGCCCCACCACAGTCACCTCACTGCTCCCTGGTCCCTAACTCGAACCCAGCACATCCCTGCTGGCTTTGCAGGCAGGCTCCTTTGCCCAAGCCCTTGTCAGACCTGACAGCACACTGTGTGCTGCTGTAAAGTACCGAGTTTCACACTCCACAATAACTCCGAATGACGTACTTTCTAAATCTGTCACCATTAAAGCCGGCAAAAGGGGGAAGACAATAAACAGAACTAAGAATATCATTAACATGATGTTTTCTGCCTGAAGGTATAGAAAGCAAGCTACTAAGAGCAAAGAGGAGAGGTCCGGGATCCACTCAAAACCAGGGTCCCAACACACCCTGAACATGCCCGATGAAATCAAGAGGGTATGTTGGAAGAGTTGCAAAGAAGATGCACGTGCAAGTGAGGAATATGGTTACCTGAAACAACAGTGCTCATCCCTGATGGGTGAGCAGTATGGGGAAGGAACATGCTTCTGTTCGCTATACTCAGGGCTCAGCAAGCTGCCTGTGGGCAGTGTCTGCTCCTGGGGCCAAGGTGACCCAAAAGTGTTAAATAACAAATTCTCCCACCAACCTAGTAACTTCTCAGATCTTCTAAGCTACCCACCTGCTCCAACCTCTGTTCAAATGACTGCTACCCAACAACTCTATCTTTCCAAGTCTGAATATAATCCAGACAATCCAGACCACCATGCCATTAACTATCAGAATCTGATAGCCCAGTATGAGCCAGTGCTTCCTACCGATCTGGAAAAGTCTGCCTTGGTGCCACTGTATTTTGTTGGTTGCCTCTGTGTGGAGGTAACACCTGACTCCCATTTGACAGGCAGGGAAGGGATGCTTCCTGGCTGACTTGAGGTGACTTGGTGAGATGAAGTAACTCGGAGCCAGCTTCTGGTCCTCAGAGAGCACAGGCTGGGGTCACACACTGCCCAGCCTGACTCCCATGGGGCAGTTGTCTGGAAGCTGCTGTTCAAGGTGTCCTAAAGAAACAGTGGATATACCTGACTGATGTCAATAGGCTTGTCCCGGCTGCCGGTCTGCACCAGGAGTTTGTAGGCGAGGACCCCATCGTCAGATCCATTTTTGTAATTGTTTGGCATGATCTTCCCAGTTTCCCAGTCACTGTCAAACGCATCCTGAAGTCCTAGAAAAGACAAACGTGTGCAACACATTACAACTCTTCCCCAGGGTGGCCGTGGACCTAAGGGATATGCTAAGGACAGTGAGCACAACAGGGAACCGATCTGTAATCTACTCTCACTTCAAGTGACACTACTGCAGTGTTCACGAATGCACTGAGGCTGCCTATCAATCACTGTTCAAAGGTAGGAAGGACACAAATGTGTTACTTTGAAACAACTGGAGAGATGGCTTAGCAGCAGCCAAGAACACTTACTGCTCTTCTAGAGGACCTAGTACAGATCTCAGCACCCATCTCAGCATAACCTCTTGTAACTCCAGCTCTAGGGGACCTGATGCCCTCTTCTGGCCTCTATGACACACACAGACACACACAGACACACACAGACACACACACACACACACACACACACACACACACTCATACGTAGCATATACTCACACAGTCACATACACATAAAATAAAAATCTTTTTAAAACCCTCTCCTTCTCTTTCCTCATGACTATTCCAGCAGGAGAAAGCAGAGGAGAGACGCACATGAGATTTATTAACCATCTCATGCCACACAGGGAGCTATGTCATGAGTTTTTCAATACGACCAGAAATTCTACCCAGAGCAGTGAAATCTCATTCAAGCTCCCAACTTCCCAACAGCAGCTCAGCTGCTCCTGGAGCCCAGGGTGAGCGAACATGACTCTGTCAATTTGATCCATCTGTTTGACTTGTGCAGCTAATACAAGCTGTGGGATCTGCTGCCAGGTTGTGTAAAGATCACAGCCAACACCTATTCACTCTTCTCTGTTCTCTTCCTCTCTGCCACCCTTCCTTCCAAGTTGGGGGGGGGGTGTGGAGGAGAGGGAGGGAGAAAAGCAGTGCATGGGGAAATACTTCACAGGGTAAATTTGGATCAGTTTGAGAACAGGAAGCCACAGGCCAATACAAGGAGGCTCTGTGAGAACAGATGACAAACCGCAAGCCCTGGGAGGGGGAAAGGAGAGAGCTTTCTGGGCTTGGGGGATGGGCAAGCCCACCAGCTCACCACACACAGCTGGGCTTGGCCTCTGTAATCAAAACCATCATTACAGACCTGACGGTTTGGCTACAGCTGTAAAGAGATAAGTGTGTTGGAAGAGAAAACAGGGCCCTGGTGACCCAGCCTTAGGGTCTGAGTCAGCACTAGCTGGTGAGAACCCACTGGGTTCTTCCTGTCACCTCCCAAGTAGAGCCCCAAAGCCCCAGCAGCTCAAGGGATCCCCCGCTTTGGAACAGGCTGTGTATGGCGTTAGACATGGCTGCTCAGAGAGATGGGCTTCCTTCATTTCAAGACAGGCTTTGGGGAACTTCAAAGACAAAAGCAAAAAACAAAACAAGTGTTTATGTAGTTCTATGAACCCTTAGCATGGTGAAATGCTTGGGGTGGGGAAGTGAGGGCAGTCAGAGCAGGCTCTTTTCCCTCTTTTTCTTTCCTTTTCTAAGACTAAACCCTCCCCCTCCAACACTGTTGTGCTGCGGGCACTGTTTTTAGAATGAGGACCTGTGGTGAGGAGGCCCCTGTTCTGCACCCCTTGGGGGAGGCAGGCAGAGGGACCACCAGGGCAGATGTCTTTCATAGTGAGGCAGCCCAGAGCAGATGTTATTTTATGACCTAGAGGCCTCCCCCACCCCCATTTTGGAAAAAAATAAACAGGAGAAATAATAACCTTTCCCCAACTCCCTCCAAGAGGTCTGGCTTGTTTGTCAAGCCAGAAGTTTTTATCACTTGGTGATGTGTACAGTGCTCTAACCGTTTTCCTCTTGACCTGTTAAATCCTGAGAGTGGCTTATGCCCAGTGGGTCCTAGGCTACTCTAGGCACTCCAGACCCATTAGCACTTGATCAGTTCTAATGTTTACCTCCTGGGATAGGCAATTAGCATTATCATTCCCACATTGCAGATGAGAAACTGAGGCCTGGGAAGGTCAAGTATTTGTCAAAGGCCATCAGGTAGGAAAATGTTTGTGTAAAGCTTTGAACCCAGGCAGCCCAAAGCCAGATTCTACATGCATTACTCATTGTATCAAACCCCTCTTTACTGCAGTGTCCAAAAGTTATCACCCAATGCACAAATTAGCCCAGGTACCCAGTGCATGAATAAGAGCAATAGCTTAGGTACCAGCAGCAAATGGGGGCCCCAAAGTTGCAGAGGTAGATTTACTCAGAGAGGCCTTTGAGATACCCAAGGGAAATCAAGGAAAATCAGATCTGAGGGCTCTATCCTGCAACCACCTCAGCTGAACTCATTTTCTACATATGCTGGTGCCAATAACTGGGTGAAGATGCGACTTTATTAACAGTTAAGTCCTTTCACAACTAGCTTAGTATTTTCTGACTAATTGCTGAAAATCTCAACTAACCTTGGGCTGGCCTAAGAACAAGCATATTATATGACCCTGGGCACCAAACACTTGCTTCCACTGTTTGGGCTGACATTTACATTCCAACAAATACACCTGTGAGCTCCTTTTATAGTAAAACCTTAAGTTTTTACCTGTAGTTTTCTCATTATAAACATTTTATACAGAGAATTACTTTTTGAGTCTCAGGTTCTAGGCTAAAGGAATTATCCAAATCTATGGAGATCTGAGAAATAAAATTCTAATCTAAATTTTGTGTGACTTAGTATGGAAGAAATGACTGCTGGAATTGGAGAGATAGCTCAGTGGTCAGAGCATTGGCTACTCTTACAAGGGACCGGAGTTCAGTTCCCAGCACCCACATGGTGGCTAACAACCACCTAACCTCAGTTTTAGGTGATCTGACCCTTTTCTAGCCTCTGTGGATTCCTGCACACACGGTGCACAAAAACTCCAACAACCAAAAATATATACATAAAAAACAAATAAAACTCTTAAAAACTGAATGCCTTTTGTATTCAATGCACAATATGGGTTTTATCTCTAACTTCAACTGATTTATACACACGTTCGACAATCTCCTATGAGGGCTGAAGATACCAAGTCGGTGGCAGAATGGTGCCCTGAGTTCTACCTCCATCCAGTACCATCTTCCCAAAAGACACGAGATAATCTCCACATTGGCCATTAAAAATTTCAAGAGTGAATACAAAAAACTTCTAGAATGCTGACAAAGACCAATAAGGTGACATCCATTAAAAAAATTAAGCTGCTATCCCTTCAACACACAAAAATCTCTGAAAGGAATACTGACTCCAGGAAATGTTCAAAGACCCAATCAACCACTCAGAAGGTCTGAAAAATATCTCAGTGGCTAAGGGCCCTGGTGACTGTGAATGGCAATCTTCAGAACCTCCTACGGTGGAGTTCTAGAACTAGGTAGCATGCATGAACCTAACAGTCTGGCTGGGTTGTGTGCACTTAGCAACTAAAACATAATTCAAATGTACCTTTAATTTCTAAAAAAAATCTATACATTTGGATGCTGTGGGTATTCCAGTGGATGAACATATAGATATGGTCTATATGTAGGCTGCCTATGTAGGCTAACCTTCTCTACTACCTACAATCTATACCTGCTGACCCCTTCCTTCCCAGCTTGGTCTACAGGGTCACACTAAAGGCCCCATAGCACATTCTATAAAACCCATCCTCTGCTCAGCCTCAGGCAACACACAGCAAGGCAGAATTTGTGGCAACTTATTTGCATGTCTTTGGTCAGTGAGGCAAAGAGAAAGCAAAGAATCTCTCAACTGTTTAGTTCTTTTCTAATTCACTACCTTGAAACCACTTAGTTCTAAGATAATAAGACCTAGAATGAATTCAAGTTAGTCTCATGAGTTTGAGATATAACAATTATGTGATGTTATTTTCTTTACCTTCCTCCAAACAAAAACCAAACCTGATACACATGTATGAGTACCTGTGCTGAATCAATTCTGGTCAAATTCAAGTTGTTTACCATCTCATGTAGACTCAGGGAAACTGGCGGCCTAATCTTTATATATAAAGAGTACTGGCCTTTTTTTTTTTTTTAAAGCACTTAAATATGTGTTTAAACAAACTAATTAAGTGGGAAATTAAGACAATCATTTGGATAATCTGAGCCAACAAATGTTGGGGCCATGATGACTTGGGTATTCCAGTAAAAGCATTTTTGTTTGAATTGTGTGGATAATGATTCTGATTTTCTACTACTGCGCTGTGCATGTGTTAACACAGTAAATGAGCAGATGTTCTGGGAGCCACTGAATGCATTTATATTCAGTCAGCAGTTAGGACTAAATTTAGAAAATCTTTTTTCCCTTAAGTTGACTAATATTTCCTAGAACGGTTTCTCAGAGGAGGCCAAGCAAGATGGTTCACTGTGTAAAAGGTACCTGTTACCAAGTGTGATGGCCCCACGGCAGACAGGGTGGAAGAGAAGCAATTCTCCCAAGTTGTCCACATATAAGCCATGACACATACATATGTACCCCACTGCACCCCAATACTACACAAATAAATAAAATGTAAACAAAAATAGTGAAAAAAGAGACTTTCTGAGAGCCAGGTAGGAAGCCAGGAAAGGCATTTTAGAGCAGGATTTGATCATTAATGAAATAGCATGACATGTGATTAAGTATTTCTGTTAACTTCATCACCCAAGGCAAGGATATAAGGCTGATTGTAATGGGTGGTGTTTAAAGATAATGACATCAATGTGGGATTGCAGTTTGAAGCTCATGTATCACTTTAGTGAGAGATGTTGACAGTTAGGGAAGTCATGTTTTGGTGGGAATGAGCAATCTCTATGCTCTGCACAAATTTTGCTATGAACTCAAAACTCTAAAAATAAAGTATATGGAGGAAGAAGAGGAGGAGGAGGAAGGGGAGGTCAAGATATAGAATCTTGGACACTATCACGGTTGACCAAAATCCACTGTTACATTAAGCTGTAATTTAGCAGTCAGCTCAGAAATCCCACAGATACGGATTTCACCTGGTCACCCAACTAGCTCCCACCCAAAAAAAAGAGCAACAGAAGCAACCAGGCTTCGTGTTTTATAACACATTCCCTTTCCACTGTGTGCTCATAAATGTATAGCAGGAGCCTCTTGCTTGGACAGTCATGTGGTTTGAAAGCCAGGGGTAGGAGGCTGCCACAGAAACAGTCACTTATGAAACATGTCACTGCTACAGTACAATCTAACACTTTCGTTAGGTGAACCAAGGGAGGACAGTGACGCAAATGTGCAGAGGGTGGCAGCCCTGCGGCAACCTTACCTTGGAGCCAGTCTCTGAAGTAGTGCAGCCACATCTTGGGCAGCTGATTGTTTTCTTCCAGCATGACATACTTCACATTGCTGAAACTCTTGTGAAGGTCATAAAGTAAATGCTGGATATTTGGGTAGTCTGCTTTCTGAGTGACTATATACATATTGTAGAAAGAAAAGTATTTGAACTGCGCAGCAATAAAGTCATACTCTCTGGTTTCCCGAGGGACAATGTCTGTAAGGTCCAGCCCGTCTCTCACTCGGGTGGTCCCATAAAGGCTGACCCCCAGCAAGCCCAGGAAAAGGAGGATCACCACAACCTGCAAGAGAGCAAGAGGCATGGGATCAGACCCAAAGAAGCACGCCCTCCTGACCAGCACCAGCTGCTGCACTGATTCCTTTCTACAGACCACACTAGCCGTGTGTTAACACTAGCATGTTGTGTTAGGGGGTCATTATCCCAGACAGAGAAACAGAAAACCATGGCAATCATCTTTTTAAGTGACCTCAGGAAGAGCAAGGATGCCTGCAAGGCAAGGAGCTCAACTATGTTAGCACCTGCTATAGGATTCCCTCCTGTAGGAGGGCACTCAATAAAGGGGCCCCGAGCTCTGTCTGCACAGACAGGACTTGCGGGGGTCTGTCCTGTAGCACACGTTCACATTATGAAAGAAAAGAAGTAGATGGAAGCCATCCGATCAGTCCCAAAGTGCAGATGGCTTGGTTATTTTTCCAAGACAAGAAGCTCCCTGTGGTAGCAGGTTACCTTGGCTTTGGGTTTCAAGAGGAAAGGAGCATAGTGTTTCTCTGCAAATGACGAGAGTGTCCACTTGGTGCAGGGGGGCTCCAAGCAGTGGAGGCTGGAGTCTGAGAACTGGGAGAGCAGATCTCTGGTGGAGCTGGCACTCTCGGGGCTCTGGCAGCTGAGGATGTCCTGGGTGACAGTGACAGGCTGCACGGAGATCTCGGAGTGCGGCTCGGCGGTAGTGTAGTACACATGTGTGTGAGGGTCGTACTCTGTGCGGAGCTGAACAGTGGACTGCATGGTGATGTGTGTTTCATGGGCAAAGCTGTGACTGCTGTAGGGGGGTGGGGGGCTGTAGCGGGTGTTGCTGTGAGGTTCTGTGTAGGCCTGTGGTTCAACCTGAATCACTCTGTTGACACAGGGGCTGGAAGATGAGAGAGAAACACATAATGAGTTGCAAGAGAGAGCAATTTCAGTTCTGCTGAAAGTGCTACCCACTGACACAGCTAAGGAGAGAGGTATCACCCGATTGCTCTGGACATAGATACGATGAACCCCTCTAAAGCACAATACAAAAAACCAAGGAATTAAAAACAAAACCTACCACTCTGTATGTTTTCTAAATGAGTGATTTTCAGTCTTGCTATGCTCCAAAGAACTACCTAACTGATCAACCACCACCACTGGCTTATGATGGAACAAAATGACACACACACCAGCACCTCAAGGGTCATGAGACTATTCACTTGGGGGAGGGGAGAGTATGGAGCAGAGATGTACCCCAGGGAATCCTGTCTATAACATGCTTCCCCACTACAGCAACGCCAACCCTCTTATAGTTGCTTCCAAAGAAGCCCATAGACTGGAAGGATCTCTAACAGCACTGCTCTGTACTTGACCAAAAAAGGCCCTAGGAGTCTGAAATCATACCTTGTAAAACAGCAGAAAATATCCAATCTCCTGTCCTCACGTCGATATAAGTCCATGCTGAGAATTGCAGGAAAAATGAGCAACACCATGGCAAAGTTGAACACCACTACTACTGCAGCCTGCAACAGGAAGACACCGGGGTCACCAGCACGCCTCCCAGTCAGAGCGGCTTTGGAAACAAAGACTTCTCTAAATAATTTTTAATTTTATGTATATGAGTGCTTTGCTTGCATATATGTATGTACACCATGTGTATGTACACCATGTATGTACACCATGTGTGTGTGTCCCCAGAAGAGGGGATCGGGTTCTCCGGAACTGGAGTTACAGATAGTTGTGAGTTATCATGTGGGTGCTGGGAACAAAACCCTGGTCCACCACTGAGCCATCTCTCCAGGCCCCAAAACAAAGATGATTTTGAACAGTGTTCTCTCTCACTGTCTTGCTGCTACCTAGTAATGCAGAGCTAACTAGCACACAATGGCATGTCTCCCTTTTCTTCTCTCCCATCATTAAGAGGCTGTATGATCCTGGCATGATGACGCACACCTTTTATGCCAGCACTCAGGAGGCAAAGGCTCTGTGTTCAAGGCCAGACAGGAATACACAGCGAGACCCTATCTAAAATAAACAAGTAAGTAAAAAGAGGCTATATTACCAAAATGGACCCAATCATTTGGACCCTTCCCAGCTCTAATAATTCTTTGACTTTTATATCCATTGGAATGAAACTGCTAATGCCTTGCTAGTAACCTATTCAAATACAATCTACAAAGGCAAGAGAAAGAACTTGAGATGCTTTATTTTAAAACAAAAAGAAACATTTGCCTTCTAGAACATTTCTAGAGTTCGCACTGCCTGGATTTTACACTTAAAAACCTGCATATAATGTAGATCAAGTCTATCAAAATGTCCCCTTTTAAACACAGAATAAAGTTTCACAGACGTCCCCTGAGGTTTTTAATAGGCACATTTCAAATAGCCTCAGGAACAGCTTGTGGGGTGTGTAACAGCCAAGGTCAAGGAGAGTTAAGCAGAAAGAAATTCCTGTGTGATTATAGTCTGTAGAATAAATAAGTACGGATTCAAAAGTCACTCCATAACCTAGAATAAACACAGGCCCGGTTCTGTAGCACTTCGGCAAATCTCCTGCTGACCTAGTAAAAATTGCAAAATTGAGCTGTTATTAGGGGAAGTCGACAGGACATCTGAAAGAGTGTCCTGTTCAGAAAAGTCAGGAAGAGGCAGAAATGAAAAATGCAACTGGAATGCTAAGTAGCCAAGAAATAATCAGAAATTCATTTAAAAACTAAAAATTCGTAGAAGGGATTTTGAAAGACTGCTTCTGAGTCATTCTCAAACTGGGAAAAATGGATCCAGCTGAGAAACAAAGCCTGCTGTCACTGGTACCAAAAACAAAAAGCAAGAGACACTACACAAAAAGCTTTGGAAAGGAAGTGTGAACATGCTCCAGGTGAAACAGCATGTCCAAGTTCTGGAGAGACGCCTTCCATAAGGAGTTCCCTGGTAAGTCCAAAAAACCATTAAAAAAAGTCACCGTTGAAACTGTGCCTAACTCCTTTGCTTCCTAGGTTGGTCTTCAAAATACCCCCAATCAATTCCAAAACACAGTACAAGTTAACTTGCAACTTGAATACATGTGAAATAGTCTCTAGACCTTACATGATTGTCACTATCCAGGTGACAGAACTCTTCTTTTTGAAGTCTAGAACTGTGCCAGATACATCAGAAGCAATAACGACAAAGGACCAAATCCCTCAAGGACTGAGGCAGCCAGAGCTACAAGCAATTCACGCCCCAGCCTGGTAAATGTAGTAACACCCAGGGAACAGCTAGGAGGGGGGACAAAAGAGGAACCCCTGGCTCAAGAGGCAATGAGAAATAAGGTAGCCAGTACATGCCCACTCTATTCCCACAGAAACAGGATTAGATGTTTCTAGTGCCTCTGACAGCTGCTATGACCTAACAGCCTGAGGTACAGAACAGCATCTGTCTGAGGTTTTCCCATCAGCCAGGTTCAAATAGATGTTTGATGCTAAGTCCTCAGACCTTAGATCAACTGGAAACTGGGAGTTTGTTAGATCTGGTCACTTCCTGAGACCACAGGACCACTAGCCAATTAGACAGAGAGAATGCTGGGAAGAACAGGTATGAGACTGGAGATTTTCCGTTAACTGTCGCACTGAAGGTTGCATCCCATTTGCTTTTGCACTGCAGTCATGTTTATAGCTCAGGACTGGGATTGAGAGAGTAATTCTGGGTATCCCTCTAGAGCAGTACATGAGGATGAGCTGCAAAGCCTCACAAACACACAGGCAGCCAGGTTGCTGCCACAGCAACACAGGCTTTCTGCAGGGCCTCATCGATCAAAGAAGTCTGACAGGCAGTTGGAAAAGCAGATAAGAGAAGCCCAAAACAATGTCCCATCTAATCTGTTTTCTAATGATATATTGCATATATGAGTAAACATTTTCTGCAAAGAAAACAGCAGAGCTTTGACATCCCCCAAGTGTGTCAAAACAATAAAAGCAACAAAGATTTCTCAGTAAGGAAGACTGATCTCTGCAGAGGAAATAAAGAATTTAAGAAATTCTAAGTAAGTCAGAAAATATGATGGGAAAAATATTGACTGTCAATCAATTGTAGTTACTCTGCTTAGAGATGTCCCCACTCCCAAAGTATCTACAGTGGTCCAGCTGAGACACCTGAGGAGGAAGCCTAGTTTAAAAATCTTTTACTGGGCTAGAGGTGTGTGGTAGAGTACTTAAAGCCCTAGGTTCAATGACCACTATCACAAATAATAGTAAATTAGAGGCTGGAGAGATGTGGATAAGACTGCTTGTTCTGAAAATTTGAGAACTCTGAGTTCGAATTCTCAGCACTTACATAGAAGCTGAGCCACTGCATGTACCTGTAACTTCAAGCACTGGGGTAGAGACAGGTGGATTCCGAGAGCTCGCTGGCTAGCCAGCTTAGGGAAATGAGCTTCTTGTTCAGTGAGAGACCCTATCTCATTGCAGGAAGGTTAAGAGCAATAGAGGAAAACACCTAATGTTCTATTCTGGTCTCCACAGGAGTACACATGGGTATGTATACTCTCATATAAGCCCCCTCCATAATAAAAAAGACAAAAAATAATAAAAAATTTAAAAGCAGACTTTTATCATTAGAATAAGTAAGGGCCCTGCTCTGGGAGTTTTCACTGAGAAACTGACTCCACTGGGTTATGGCACAGCTCCGGTACAGGCCACCAATTCCAAAGTAGCACTTGGACAAATAATGGAGGGGCTTTTTGTTTTTGTTTTTTTGATGAGGGGAAAAACAACCCTCCTGTTTTGTTCAAGGTAAAAAATCAGCAAGGTTTCACAAGGAAAAATCCAAACATTATACTGGTTTATTGCTGCATAGAACCATGTTGGCCTCTCTCCCTTCAGACCTTCTTGGTAGCTACAGATGGAGCTTTGTAAAATTCATACAGTGACTGTAACAGACACGCAAAACCCACAGTACTCATTTTGCCCTGTAAGGTGCTTACCTTGGGAGAACTTAGCGTACTGGATTTTCTAAAAGGCAGCTGGATTTCCCTCAAGGGAAACTCAGGCAGCTTTCAGACCACCACACCAAGGGGTATCATTAAGGGAGGAGAGTTTGCCTTGCTGAACCACCAGTATGTACTGAGAGAGGAGAGGAGAGAATGAGAGGGAAAGAAGAACAGAGTGAGTGGACACAGAGCAGAGCAGGTGTGGACAGCCAGGGGACAGGCAGCGGAGAGGACAGCATGAGGAAAGGGTCCTACTAATTCAGACTCCAGAACAATCTCCATTCCAGAGTCTGCTGCACAGGAAACAAGAATGGACACAAGGAGAGTGTGGGGCAGATGCAAGTCTGTGCGAAACCCCTCCCGAGACACCAGTGCTCCCACCAAGCTCAGGAGCAGCTTCCTTTCCTATCACAAAGCTATCGGCTGTTTTCATTTTCTGTCTCTTTCAGTCTCAGTTCCAGATTTGATTTTATTCATGAATTCATTTACTATTAATAATAAAAGCAAACCCTTCTGGTGCTTTCCTTCAGGTGTTGACGCTTGTGGTGACTGGCAGTCTCTTCTCATAGTCTCAGATCTTTTGCTAAGTGTTAAGGAGGCCTTCAATCTCACATCCAGTACGATGTTACTGGGGCCTCCACTGGTGGGGAGAGGAAGCACAACATGAGTTGTTGCTTCTTAACAGATGTGAAGACTACGACAGCAAAGAGTACGAAACAACCCAACTCCCCAGCTCATCTGTCTGTCACCTTCTCTTCCTGGTCACAGTTCTTGACACCCGTTGGGGAGTGAAGTGGCAGGAAGGAGTGGATGCAACAAGGGTTTAACAAGTGACATCTGAGTAGTTCCCTTCAGGCAGCTGGTTATCTCACCAGTTACACATCCCACTCTAAGAAGGGAAACCAATGCTCCCTTCAGTAGACCTTTAAAATTTGGAATTAATTCACAAAATTTGGATCACACCCCAAACTATCTAGACCCTAGACTACTTCCAGTTTAGGAAGCCCACGTCACAAACTGTCTGAGATCCTGCTTCATCTGCTGCGCTGACTACCTCAGGATTCCTGTGAACTTCAATTAGCTCTAAGGCAAACCAGTAATCCATTCTAAGCATGAAACAGACCATAGCTGCATCTCCATAGCTGGAAAATGACACTTTAGGCTGGCTGATGCAGAAAACACCCTGATAGCTCGGGGTGTAAAGGGCCTGGCTGGGAGGAAGGTGGCTGAGTAGACAGGTGGAACACCCTGGTGAGAGGCATTCTGAGCCTACTTGGAAGCCTATGAGGGGTAGAGACAGAACCAAAGGAAAGGAGGGACAGGAGAGAACAGAGGCCAACCAAGGAAAGGGCACTGAGAGATGCTGCTGCAGGATATCTCCAAGGGGCCAAATACCCTCACAGAGTGCAGACAGCCCACTTTCAGTCACCAGCTGGCCCGGGCTACACAGACCCTTATCTTGATATACCAGTAAAATCTCAGCATGATGGCCTTGGCATTGGCCTGGAGCTGCCTTGTGCAAGGCCATAATTGGGATGAGATGACTGGAAGGGGAGGACCTCAAGGAGTAGCCTTGGACCACTGATTCAAACTACACACTGCAGCTCCAGAAGATAACAGCACTGGAACACTCAGGTCTGAGAGGATGGAAAGAACCCTGGAATTTGTTTTGGAGGGAGCGCCAAGGTTACACAAAGTGCCCACTCTACACACACAGACCCAAATGCTGCTAGCATGTACTGGATTTTGTGGTGGTAGTAATGTAAGCACTAGACTCCAGGTAAAGCACAGCAGGGATGCTGAACATCAAAGCATTGCTCAGTGACCAGAGATTTCATCACTGGAAACTCACCTGGAGGGAGAATGCTCGCAGAGCAGGAATAGGGATTAATGCGGCCATGAAGAAGGCAGTCACATTGCTGATAGAGGTGAGGGCCACGCTGGCTCCTGTGCGCTTGAGGCACTCCCCTGTCCTGTCCTGAGGATGAGAAACCACAGTGCTGAGGGCTGCACCCAATACTGGACACCCTCAAAGCACAGTGTAGCAAAATAATACAAATGGAGTTTCTCATGCTGTGTCTAATGGACTGGGAAAGGTCACAGCTGCCTGGACCCCAGCACCAGCTCCTATCAGTGCCACCCTCATGGTCATGAGCCCTTCATGTTTACTAGTACCCAAATCAGAAAGCTGAAGATACCGATAATGGTTTAAACTCTTAAAACAATCTAAACTAGGAGGAACAGTAATGACAGAAAACCCTAGGAAGCAAACATGGGCTTTGGGAAAGGGTGGCGGTAACATGAGGTCACACTAAGACACTACATTTCCATAGGTGCCTCTCTCAAACGGAGCGCTGAGCATTTCCCACAGCTAGCCCTTGTCCTGAGCTTGCTTTATTTATTTAGAGCCAATATCATATCATTCAACTTGGGACTGAAATCTATCCTGGGACAGATGGGAAAAACACTGAAGGACAAATAGGAATAAACTTTCTTCTTTTATCTGTTATTACCTCAAAAGGGATCCTTTTATTCTGTCCTGTTTCACTGAATGCGTGTGCCAGAAGGAAAACATCATCCACACCAACACCCAGAGCAAGAAACGGCAAAACCTATGGCAAATACAGAAAACAGCAGCATTAGACAGTGCCAGGCAGCAGGGAAATATCTCCAGTGCCCACAGGTGCCAAAGGGGAGCATATGTCCACTTGGTGAAGGTTTACTTATCTGATGGTTTATAACGTTAAAGTCCTGCAGTTGACTCCCCCAAGTCTTACAATTTTGATCATAGAAGCTCTTATATGCTTCTATTTACAAGGTTCAGGTACAAAAATAGTTTTTAGAATTATAAAGTAAGAAGCAAGCTAACTCCTTCATTTAAAGCAATGGTTCTGAGTGACCCCCTGGACCAGCATCAAGTGCTTAGAATCCAAGATGTTGTGCTTCCACCCCAGCCATCTGAGTTTTCCTTCACAAGGCGATTCTAATGCCCACTACAGTTGAGAATCAAGGTTGGAGTAAATAACTGATATAAATTGTTTTTAGTGAAGTGTCTCTACTTATCAAGAACCTTTCCAGACTTAAAAAAATTACTACTGTGTGTTGGTATATGTGCATGGTGTGTGTGTGAATGTGTGTGGCACTGCAAGTGTGTAGAGGTCAGAGGACAACTGTGTAGTCATTTTCCCCTTCCACCTTTCTGTGACTTGCCAGATTTGTACAGCAAGTGCCTTTACCAACTGAGCCATTTCACTGGCTCTCCCGACTCTCCAGGCTTTTTACCTAAGGCCCAGAGTGGCTCACTGAGAGCCAGCCCTCCCCTAAGGCAAGTGGCATCCTAGTGGAAAAGGCTTTAAAGACTCTTCAGATGAAATGGACACACAGAGGGCTAGTGGTGAGGCCAGGGAAGGGTGTTGGCCAGAGAGCAGCGATGAACGGTTCCCTTAGTACCTGAGTTGTCGCAGCGTTAAAGGAAATCCCGATCAATGAGCACAGGCCCAATCCTGCAGCCACTGACAGTGCAACCAACAGGACGCCAGCCAGCCCCACGGCACCCTGGGACTTGGAGCAGTCCCAGCGCAGCATGGTTAAACAGGCATAGGCAAGCTGCAAGCAGAACAATGTGGGGAGGGGAATGGAGGGGAATGGGGAACACAAAACAAGGGCCAAACATTAGAATGTAAAATGATTCTAATGTTTTCCCCCACCCATCACCCCAAATCCAGAGGTAGAACTTACTAACTCCAACAGCAAAACTTTACACTACAAACATCACACAACGAGTCAAAGAGGAGAAAACTGAAAACGGGGGGGAAAAAAAAATCACTTTATATGACCACATCTGAAACCATCATGAAGCTAGGCTATTTCTGTCTTTGATTCATTTGTATGTTTAAGGCAGTCAAAAAGCAGGTGCCGTCATGGAAAAGTCAAAAACCAAAATTACAAAAACCAAAGAAACAAACCCAGACCAACCACAACCACTGAGAGCCCAGAATTGACTTTTACCATCAATAAGTAGCCACTGGCCACTCGGATGACGCTGACATCAGAGAATGATTTTAGGATGTCGTCCAGGGTCGTGGTGGTGAAGGAAAGTACCTTTTGAGTGGAGTTCGGGGCAACACTCTGATGAACCACCTGTGGTTAAAAGACAAGGCTAAATTGCCAGATGGAATTATGGTATCAACACACTTCAACAGTGCATACTTGGGGGATACAGACCCACACCCTACAGTTTTCTGGAGCATCAACAAAATGTTCTGTGACTCATATGGACAAAGAAAGGAGGAAAAGCTTGAATGAGGAGAAGCCTGAATGGGTGGGTCACCCAGAGAGCTTTACTTACACTCTGAGACTCAGTAGTCTCCCCTCCATAGTCCTACAGCTGGTTTTGGGTCCTATCAGTTCCCTCCTAAACCAAAACAACTCATTCTTATAAGTACCACCTCCCCCGCTTCATTTGCTGGCCACTTTTAAAAGGTCACATGAAGCTTGGTAGAGGTCACTGCTTGGGAAACAAAGGCCAGCCCCTGTCACATGACCTGACCAAGGTGCCCGCAGCTGTGAACAGATTCTATGCCTTGCTAATGTTTTCCAGACACCTTTCCTTGCTCCCCTAGTGTTTTTTTTTTTTTTTTTAAAAAAAAAAAAACAACAACAAAAAAAACACTGTTATGCCTGGTCTCCAGAGTTCACATTATCTGTTAATAAACATGTTTCTGGGCATCCCAATTAAGAATGAGTGTCTCTCCAGATACTATGCCAAGACTTTCAATATTTGGAGAAAGAAAAACAAGCTTGTGTCCCACGAAGATCCCAGAATTAAAATCGGTTGAAAATGAATCTGATGGAGGCTGGGTATGGCAATGTATACCTGTAACCCCAGCTCTCAGGAAGCTGAGGAAAGAGGACAGCAAGTTTGAGACCAGCCCAGGCTGCACAGTGTCTCAAAAATCAAACAACAACAAACAAATAAGACCCCGCTAAACCTAATGGGAAATGACATTTTCAATGATGGTAAAAGGAAGAAAGAAATACTAAGAGGTGTCCCTCACTGCGCAGTGGATGCCTCACTGCGTGGTGGGCTTACCTCCACATACGTTCTCTGCCACGCCTCTAGGATAGCTGCTGCTTTGTCCTCATTCCAGTTAATGTGGGAGACATAATCATAGCCCTTGAAGTGCTCATACATTTGCTTGGGAGTCATTAATTGGAACATGGTCTGCAGGGCATGGGCACTGTGACGGAGTGAATGGGTACAAGGCATGTTAGTACCCAGCAAGCAGTATGCATGACATGAGATGGGAGACAAACACCCCCAACTCTCTTGCAGATGTCTCTTTCTCTGTGTGCACATGTTTCCATTCAAACAGGACCAGGACGGTTATTGTATTTAATAGATTGATGTACCATATTAAAGGTGTAACCTTACAAACCTTTTACAGATAGACCCCAAAATTAAATTAATAGGCAATTTCCTTTCTCAGTTCCTATTCCATGAAACAGGAAGGAGAGAGGAGTAGATGGCTTGACCAGATACACACTGGGCTCAGACTCTCACACTAACTGTGCAGAAATCCCAGACGACAGTGTCCCGAGGGAGAAACCTCAGACGAAACACCTGACACTTGACTGAACAGTCCTCCACTGCACAAAAGATAACCCTTGCTTGGCCTCCAAGTCCTGATCTTTTCCTTTAACGGTACATGACACTGCTCACCTCCTACCTTTCGACTCTAAGCTATGGCTGGGTTTTCTTGCCCCTGTTTTTTCACATAAGGGGCAAATCTGCCAAAACCCTGAAATCAACAACTACGGTTTTGATGAAAAACTACAAATCCATTTTAGAATCCATTTCCCACAAAAATGCCTTTGCAAGCTGGTCTGGTTTGTTGTATTTCTTAATATTCAATCACACCAGATATTAAGTGTGAATCTAAATGCAGATGTCAGAGGGGAAGTGGTTTTTGAGAAAAGGGAAAAGAATGGCTGGGGGTGCTGTGCTGGATTACCTGACCAGTTTTCCAGTGCTGTTCTTGACTGTGCCACCCACAATCAGCTCCTCCTGCCAGCGCATATACTTCCTGGATAATCCCTGACATCCACCATTCAAAACAAGGGCCATATCAAGAGGCTGCAATGAAAAGACAGCCACATAATTACGGGAATTAGTAGGCAGGTCACATGCCTTGTTAAAATCCAGTGCGTTAAGGGCTTGTTTGTTTCAGAGAAAACATTAATAATAAGGCTAATGAGGAGGATGCTAAATCTTACAGCAAAATTTATCTCTATAAACAAACTCAGTACCATACAGCACATCTTTTAAAATCCATGGATAATAAAATCCTAAAAATGCAAATAATAAAGAGAACTACAAATGGCAACAGAAAAGGCTTTTTCCCATGCCCTCTCTGGGAATAGTCAATGAGAGAACTCACTTTGGTTGAATTTTTGTTGGGGGCTGTGGCGGGGCAATCTGGGTCTGCTGGGTTGAGGCAGGGACGGTCCATGTACCCATGGCCAACTTCAGCTTTATTGAGCATTTCCTCCCAACTGTCCACTTGATAGTTTATTTTCTTTAACTCCTCTAGGAATTCCAAAGGGTCAAAGTTTGTCCACCGCAGAGGAGGTTTACCTCTGCAAAAGAAATGAAAAGGGAGACCATGAAGGGAAGCCCCAGACAGAGGGAGAGCACCGAGGCTGCACACTCTGTATCTCACTCTGCCTCTGTGTGGGAGGCTTTTGATAAGACTGCAATTTGGAGACATTGGCAGATAGGAAAAAAATTAATGATCCTTTTCAGAAAACCTGTGTGCAAACTTGTCATGGCTGAAGATGGCAAGCAGAGGGTTTGCAAGTTAACACAAGCACCAGAGAATCTTAATTCTCAAATATTGTACTAATTATCTTGAAAAACACTCAGTGGGTGAGCGCTTCTAAACAGGACACTAAGGTCCAAATTGGAAAACCAAAAGACGGACTCACAATGTCACATTAGCACTCACCAGCTCAATAAATGCTTAGTAAATGTCACCAACCACAACATCTGAACTGTTACCTTAATAGTTCGTTCTTATGAGCCTTCTCTGACAGCCTGGCAGAGCAGCGGGCAAGCCCCCCACGGGCTGCCATCACCACCACCACAGCCACTTCCCCCCACACTCACTTTTGAAATTGTGCTGTTGACAGACCAGAAAGGCTTTTGGCTGCCTGTTATGTGGTTCAAACCGCACTGTAGCTGCTTAACCAGGCTGAAGTCATTATTCAGAATCTCCCAACCAGAAAACATAAAACCCCTTATTTCCCATCTAAAACTGTACACTGAAGGTCAGGGGATGGCCACTGCAAATTGCTTTTGCAGATATGTGCAAGCCAGGATGGAAACAATAACCCAAGCACTAACTCTTGCATAATTAACTGAAAATGTCTACACTGATTAACCATCGTTCTTTAAATGATGTGGTACATATAATTCCCAACTGCTAGGCTGTGAAGCCTCCTGTCATGGTCTTCACAGAGAGCACATTTCCCCCTTAAATGTCATTAATGTGATCCAAAGAAAGGCTACTATTTTACTTCGCAGGAAGATTTTGAACCTTAACTTAAAATATTTCATTATGACATGTACCCAGTAATTAATTCTTTTCTTAAAAAACAAGGTAAAATACCAAGTCCCTGGTTTGCACAGCTACAAACATCTTATAGAGTTAAAAAACTGCACATACTGTGCAATAATTTGCATTCTATTTGCATATAAATAGGTTGGTAAAACTGAATGAAATTTAATGACGCCTACAGAACTTATTTTGAAAAGAGGAAAACATTCTGCTGAAATCCCCTCTTTCGCCCACCATTCACTCAAAAATATGCACGTGGAATTTCAATGTTTTATTTCTTGTCCAAAACTAAAACAATAAACAATGATAAGTAACATCAGAAACAGTCACAGAGTTTAGAAATCAGAATTTGGAGATACACTTACAGGAGGTATGCTGTCCCGGACTGTAATTTTGCCCCTTCCCAGAAGCAGTCCAAAGGTGTAATGACTAAGCAAGGGTAAAGATATTCTATTATCTGTCAGAGCAAAAAACAACAGGCCATGCATTAGGCTGACGCATGCCAGTGAGACGGTTCAGAGGAATTTCTGAGACTTTTTTTTTTTTTTGCAAACAAGAAAAGAACATACCTGATCCATATAACCTGTTTCTGTGATAAGTTCTCCTGACTTGTAGCACAAGTGTTCCAATTTCCATTGCCTATTGGGATGAAAACCAGAGACAAAAACTTCTTATTGCAATCCAGGAAATTAGTGCAAAATCTGAATGACAGAACATATCAAAAGGACTGTAATTTCGATCACTTTGAAGCATCTGTCAAAACCAGCAGCGCTTTTGCCAAGTGGAAAGCCAGCAAGCTTGCTTTAATGAATAGATAACACTGGATCGTAATTAACATGTGGGGTGTTTATGTAAATGAATGCTACCAAAGTACTTGAAAAGTCTTGTTTCCTTAAGTGTTCTACCAATAATCCTGTTTACACCATTAATCTGCTTTTCTACATACATTAAACAACTTGAAGCAGTCCAGCAGAATTATCACAAATTCAAAATAAGTGCAAACTAAGTTGGTGGAATTTGTATTGGCGCATATTCAGGTGGGAAAATATTACTGGCATTTTTTTTTTTAAACTGGCAGATAATGTTTGTAGGTCATGTTTGAAACAAACTTTCCTGCTCTTAACCACAAATGTGATAAACAACCTTTGCCAAGTGAACTGAATCTCCTCATTTTACAGAAATAGCATTAAATACATAGACCAAGAATTAATTGTTTTATTATCTGTAGGAGACTGTTCAATAATTCACATCTTTCCGAATGCGTTTAGGGAAATAAGCCTAACTCAAAAATAAGAAGGTATTTGGTAGGATTGAAGATGGGAAATCCAAGGGATGAAAATAAAAATAAAAACTGTCCTCCAATCTGGTTTATTTTACTGGCCTTCTTAGGGAGGTCTATCTTCACCCAAGGATATTTTTTTTGAACTTTGCCCTTGTCCCTGGGCTTCCTTCCAGAACTTTCCCATCTTTCTCTCAGTGCTCTTTTCAAAGTTATCTTCCTGTTAATAAGCTTCCCTTGCCCAATGATAATGAAAATGATCTTTCCCTAGAGCTCTGGCTCCTACCTGATACCTGGCACACATGGTGGGCATTGCCCAAGCTTGGCTTTGCCCATACTTACTGTACTGATGATTTCAGTTCTTTCCCCCAAGAACAGGACTGACATCCATCTGCCTATTCATCCATTCCTCCCCTTTCTCCCTCTTTTCCACCTACTCAGAGACCTACTGCTCATGCTAACATCTCTCTCTCTCTCTCTCTCTCTCTCTCTCTCTCTCTCTCTCACACACACACACACACACACACACATACACACACACGTGTAATGGAAGCATAGGCTATCTGATAAAAGTAGGTTCTCAATGTCATCTGATCACTTAACTTGTGATCCTTAGCTTGTCTGAGGATATAATTGTGCATTCATTGGGCTTGGAGCGAGAAGACAGGGTTTGAAGACAGGGATTGATCATTTAATAACCCTTTGAACTTGAATAACAAGTGCCTTCACAGTAGGTCCAAACATAATGCATGAGGAATAAACTCAGTTGTGCCAGGTTCTCCACAGGGCCTTTGCTTAGAAACTTTGCAAACTGGACCAGAGAGCTGCTTTATCTGTAGTGTGCTCTACAGACAGGAGGGCAGGCTGCCCTGACAAAGGTGCTGAGATACCTTCACACATTTCCCAAAGCCTTTCCTACACACACCTGATCTTACCCCTGCTCAACAATGGATTAGCTGTGATGGCTCCTTTTCTTAAGTGACTGACAGTGACTTAACTTTTGGTCAAAAACCCTTCAATTGTTTCCTCTATGCACAACATTGTGGAGTTAGCAAAGATGTTCATAAGCTGACTTTTGAAAAGGTGGGTGTGTGAATCCATCTCACTCAGCCTGTCTCCAAGAATCCCAATGTGACTCATGCCACGTGGACATACAAAGTAGAGAAAAGTAGCTTCTTCCCTGTCCCTCCCTCCATCCTTCATACTGCTTTTATGTTAACTAAGGCTATCCAAAATGTAACTGCTCCAACAATATATTAAGCAACAGAGATAATTTACAATGTTAACAAAATATACAATTTGGAAAACTATCTTAAGCAATGAAATACAGGCTCCAGGTACAGCTACCCAAGTGACCAGAATCACTGATCTGAACATATTAAATCTGAAATGCTCTAGAATCTGAAGCTTTTTGAGTACCACATGCTGCCACAAATAGAATGTGTCATGTTATGAATCTCCATTTTGTGCACAAGAATAAATATTAAGATATTGTATAAGACATATTTGAAACAAATCAATTGTCTTCAGGCTTGAAATCTGAAAAGTGTCTCTTGAGACACTTCTGGGTCTCAAGTACTTTGGATAAGGAATGTTCAACCTATAATATACCTGTTTTGTTATCAAACTCTTAAAAAAGAAAATCAAGGGGCTGGAGAGATGGCTCAGCAGTCTTGTGGACAACCTGAGTTCAATTTCTAGCACCCACATGGTGACTAACTGTCTGTTAACACCAGTGCAAGGGGGTCAGTCCGATGCCTGCTTCTGACCTTCGCAGGCATTGCATGACACAGGTGCACATGCAGGCAATACACTCATACACATAAAATAAAAATAATGAATAAAATATTAAAAAATTAAATCAAGATTAAGGGGGCTATTTGGTGCTAGAATTAGTTCTCTAACATACTTTATAAAACCCTGGGCCCATCCACAGCATGGGGAAAAAGTTTTACTGGAAAATTATTTGAGCCAGTACTCTAGAGTCACCCTTATCTACTGAACCAAGGGGCCTACAGCAACAGGCTCCTCTCACAGGCTTACCTGCCCTAACTGTGCAGGTGACATGGCTAGCCTTACCTGTTGTACATGTAGACATGCACTCGACTGGCCTGGAGCGCAGAGTCCAGGTGTTGCAAGAGCGCTTCTGTGGTTAGGACATTAGCACCTTCTTCTTTTGGGGTCTGTATCATGAGCTGAGGATTAAACATAGCTTCTTCTCCTATCTTCTGGCGGGTATAATTTAATTCACGACTCACTCGTCCACCAACTGACAAACATGGATAGATTTCAGTTAGAACAGAATACATCTCAAATCCCAGTTTTCTCACTGGCAGAGACAGGTTTAGGCACAATGAGTAAAGTGGCCATGAAACACCATTTTACTACTAGTGGCAATGCTGACTTTGCCAATGACAAGCGTAAAAACATGCTTTCTAAGCCCAGTAGCTGTCCAGCCTGTCACACACCCAAGCCTCCTCGGTGTGGGCTTCCTGCACATTCTGAGATACCATGTGCCTAAGGCAGGAAGAGGATGGGAAAACTGTGGATGCCTTTTCCTTGAAGACTAGACCGAACAACCCTGTCGTACTTTCTTTCACGTCTATAAACAATGCACCCCTGCAGCACATTTAAGATAAATGGCTTCAATTTACACTCTTCCAGGTAATCTGGCAAAGGTTAACAAGAAAATGTTTCTCCTCTGTGGAAAAAGCAACAAGGGAAGGTGGTGAGTATGTGCTCAGAACACAACTTGCCAGAAGATAAATACTGTGACTCAAGTCAGATGCGCAGGGGGGAACCTCATAGGAGGGGACCAAGAGAGAACAGCCTTGAAGTCCCTGGAAGTTGGTTCTATCAGATCGGAAAACCCGACAGAAGAGGGACAGAATCCATCAGTCTCAGCCACCATGGACAATTCCTAGACCCTAGTTCTACAGACTCTCCTGGTCAGCATCCAGAAAAAACAGGTGCCAGGTTCTGAGTCACCTGGGGGAGTGCGGCTGTGTTCCAGAAGCTCCCAGGTAGTGCTGGACCTGCCACTGAGGCCAAGGAGCCCTACCCAACACCAACCCAGCTCTCCTGCACTTTGGCCAAAGTTAGGCATGCCGGCAACCAGGCCCGGGTGGTCAAACCACTGATCCCGCTGCTGCCAACTTTTCACTCTGCCCCTCCTTTCTGCATGCTTACAGTTAAGGTTTGGGAACAAAGCAAGCTTGGGATGCCACCCTTGTGCTGAGAGGCATCTTGAGGAGAGAGATTCTGCCTTCCTGTGCACACACACCAAGGCAAAGGAAACTGGTCTGAATAGTTGTGAAAGTCACTGATAAGCTTGGGGCTTTCTCAAAAGCAGACCTCCAGCTATAACTTGGAAAGAACTCAGCAGCTGTAGCTTTCCCACGAGGAAGAATCCTTTTTCTTCAAGTTTAGTATTCAAGGACATAAACATTTGGTTTGGGCAAGTAAATAAGTACTGAGAACAGTGGGGTGTTTGGTTCTCTTGGCATATTTTATAAACAAGGGGGCAGGCTAAAAAGCAAACAATGCCCTCATTAGGAAAACTAGTGCAGAATCGCAGGCTGGCAGGACCCTGTGTGTAGGTCCACCCAGCAGCCAAGGCCACCGTGGAGCTCTGAGGTGAGGCTGTGTGGGATGTGGGAGGGAGGAATGCGTCAATCAGTTCATAAAAAATATGCAAAGTGTGTAGACAGTTTGACAAATGCCAAGAAGAATGGCTGAAGGGCTTCTCCAATGTCAAGTTAAGGACTGGGGTATAGCTCAGTGGTACAGTGTTTGCCCAGAATTCCCAAGGTCCTGGGTTCAATCCTCAGAGCTGAAAAAAAAAAAAAAAAAAAAAAAAAAGCAGGTGGAAAACAACTTGGAAGAGAGGACATTTAGTTAGTTTTTCTAATACTGCATGCAGTTGTGTGTGCCCAAAGGCAGTTTCTTGTTCTTTGTGGCAAGAATTACATTATATACTTAAGCCAACTAATGAACTGAATTTGACCTCAATCCACATCCTCAACAGGCGCAGACTCAGCTGTTAGTCAACTGCCCATTCTCAGTACAGGTCACTTCTGAAAAGTGACCAGGTCACTAATGAAGAACCTCAACCCAAAAGTGCTCTATTTTTTCCCTTTTTCCTGGTGGTGTCACATCTCATGCCCAAACCCAGAAATCACTTCTACCTCCTCCTCTTGCCTCCTCACATGCCCCTACATGACTCCTCATCCTGCTTACAACACTGTGCCTCCTTTTTAACTCAAACTTAAAACTTCATATGACTCCAAACCAGGAGGTAAGATAAATCAGTAAAAGTCACCAACAATAAAGCAGACCACCCCAATTGCTTGTACAGCAAGGAACCACTCATGCACACACAGCCAGGTTAGCCACCATCTGCCCCAGGCCACAGGGGCTGCAGCAGAGCAGCTGCCTGCCACTATGCAACTTATGGGTATACAGCCCCCAATGAGTGCCCTCAAGAGTAAGAAAACCCAATGCAAGTGGCATACTGCTAGACTTTACTGTACTCTTTCAAGCCAATCTCTTATCACAGGGGGTTTCAGAAAGAAAGGCTATTTCCAAAACAGAAAATGCAATTCGTGGGCCCCACTGCAATTTTTATGATGCATATTAAGATAACACATAGATTTTTAATCAATTTGTCATACACACTGTCTTGTGTTACATTTCTGAATTCTTTTTGCTCTAGTGCTATTCATGACTCTGTTGCCAATGTGACCACCAATATCAGCCCAGACAAGAGTACCACAGGATAAAATACACCAAGTTGAACCTCTTAAGTCTAATGTATCCTGAATCCTACTAATGACTACTGATAAATTTATTTCTGTACATTATAGAGCTGTATCTTAGAGCCAGTGTTTCATTTTGTATTTATGTTTCACCAAATGATTCAATAACTTCAATGAAGTTTAGCTGCCATTTATTTCATTTCAGCCAGTTATTAAACCATTCAACTCACGCAGCCAACATTTGTGGATGTGTATACAATTATTAGGTGCTAAGTACTGAGACTGCTCAGTAGACAAGACCGGGATCCTTTTCTGTTGCTTTGTTCCAAGAGGGTTGCTGGGTCAGCACAGACAGTGCACAAGTAAATTAAATGTCATCAAGAAAAAAGGTGGTGGTGCCATGTTGAGTGTTGAGTATGCAAGGGGGGCGTCTCAAAAGAAAGTTAACATTTGAGGTGACTCTGAAGAGCTGGGGACCACCTAAAGGAGGAACCAGCAAATGCAAAGCCCTTATATTTCAGCAAGGAGAGAATGGAGGCCATCGTGGCTGGAGCATGGTGAGACCATCATTACATCATTCATTTGGTTGCATAGGTAGATTTACCTCCTTCTCAAATATACCTGCATCACCAGCTCATAGCCATTCAGCCCATCTTACAGCACTCACTCACCCAAGGAGCCTCAAACAAGCTAGCTATAGAAAACAGAAACAACTATGGACAGAGCAGTTTTACGGAGAAGACTGACTCTAGGTAGCTACTTCAACAAACTCCTATCATAAATCATGGCTGAATGACAGGCAGAAGCTGTTCATTACCTGCTATCTTCCTTATCATCCTTGAGTGTGAAGTTTTATACTCAGAAATCCCAAAGAATCCAAACCCATTTCAGATTATTCAAATTAAAGCCCTTGTCTCCTTCAAGGTCAAAGTCCCCCTTACATATTTTAAAAATAATTTAATATTCCCAAAATAATTCAGAGGAAAATAACTATGGGACAAAATGAGGTATAAAACCCAGTAGCTATAGTATAGGTCCAGTGAACCATTACAGTTGACAGCTGTAATTGCTGGGTAGTGGTCTATGGATAACACTTAACCTTCTTTCCTTTTGGGAGGTTCATCTAGTGTTAGGTTTAAAATGAACATCTATAAAGACTTCAGGAGAGAAACAGCGAAAGAAGAGAGGAAGGGAGGGCAGAAAGGACAAGGACATGTGAAAGACACTTGGTAGAGATCTGGATTAAAACATGTTCAAGAGCTGGGGGTGTGGTCAGTTGGTCCAGTGTTTGCCTAGCATGCTTTGGGTTCAGTCACCAACACTGCATAAACCAGGCATGGTGGCACATACATATACGCTCAGACCTTGAGAGGAAGAGGCAGGAAGATCAGAAGTTCTAGGTTATCAAGGCCAGCCAGAGATACATGAGACCCTGTCTCAAAAACAAAGCTCAACACAAAAACAATCATATGCATCATTACATCCTTAGTACTTTTTGTGCTTAAATATACTATCTCTAACAATAAAATAACCACCAACCTCTTTGAACAGGACTCAGGATCCAGAGACCCAAAATAATCTCTTATGCTTAAGTGATGCTTTCCATCACTCAAAGTTCTTGAAATCACATTATTTACTTATATTTTGATTGTGGCTGTTCCTCCATCAAGTTGGGAACAGCTGTGTTGCACAGGCCCTGAGCATGGGAGCAGGGGACCTCAGTTCCCATCATTGCTACCTTAGGCAGGGAGATCGGGATCCCTAATGGGTATCTAAGAGGCAAAACTGCCCTGAATGCAACTGCCCAGCCAGCCTCCTGATTTCTGAGTACCACCTAAGAGTGTAGGTACAGCAGAGGTGGTTCAGACTACCAAATTCCACCTTCCAGACTACATGAAACTCATGGTTGAGCTCTTAGAATGCATGTAAATAACTGCTATATTTAAAGGGCAGCAACATTGCTTTAAAGACTTTTCCTTCACTCAGGAGATGCCACTGTTAACAGGGCCTTGCAGACCATGGCCCCATTTCCTTCTGGTCTCCAGAGGATCCTGTTAGATGGAGCAGAGATAGATATAGAGGGAACAGACAAGCAATCAGTCCTGTGCCCCCTTTCCTTTAAACTCTACATCACATTCTCCAGAAATCCAAGCTGACGCCAGTCCTCTGAAAGAAGCACCACAAGCATCACATTTGCAAAGCATCTGCATCAAGCTATTTATCCTCTCCTCTCCAATCAGACCCATGAGCATGGCTTTCCAAAGAGAAACATGGGGTAGGAGACATTCAACCAAGTGGTCCATCCCCTCCAGATGGGCATTATTCCAGTTTCCTATAGACCCAAGATGACCCCCACGATGTCCCCTGCTGAACAATCACTGCCTTTCAAACAGAGCAGAAGAGATGACTGTGTCATTTATACAAAAACGTTTTAGCAAAAGCTTACTGTAAGCTATATAAAGATGATCTCAAGGTTCAGTTCAGCTGTTTTTTTCTCCATGAAATTCCAAGT